CGTGCAGGTAGTAATACTTTTTTCTACTTATTTTATGAAACGTTTACAACACGCAGAAGAATATCAATCACCATCAAAGATTTCTGTGAAAACACATTTACGAAACACGTCAAATAAATCACGGTGTAGAGGAACATTCACAAATTATTACGTAACGAACCTTTTTACACTTCATTTGCCAACGCTTTACGATGGAGAATCGCCGCTGTACAGCCTTTGTCCGTTCTAGAAAATGTCTTTGGAACCGACGTCTTGCGGCAAAGCCCCTGCAACGAAGACAAGCTAGCTCCATTTGAGTGAAGGTTTGTTGTGGTGTTTCTATTGGGGAGGTCATATGATGCTCAATATTTTGCCGTCACAAGTTAGTTCAAGTCACTGTAAATGGTTAAAGAAAAGTTAGAAAAAAAACTGAGCTTTTTTTTTTAATTATTAACGCGCATTTTTTTTTTTACATTTAAAGAAATAAGTTGCGTTTCTGCATTAATAGCGGAACAACAGAGTGGGCTAGTCATATTGTGCTTATATATTTGTAAACTGCATTTAACGATGATCATTTTGATATATCTTGCGTCGTTTTATATTAAGTAGTTCGTTGATAAATAATGCGTGAAAATGTCTCTAAAACGTGATTATTTGACGTGTTTCGAAAACTTTTCCTTTTGCATAGAAATTTTAAATTTTTAATACTATGCGTACATGTTGTAAGCCTTTAATAAAATAAGTATAACAAATTATTACTACGTGCATGTTTCGGTGTGAAATTTACGTCTGTGCGAAGTACCTTAGCAAACCTTGGCGATCTCCACGCCTCGGTCTTCAAAAATCTATAGCTCCGAAAGAAAATTAGCTACAGCCTTCAAATATAAAACGCCTTCTGTTTCCTGTCCTTTTCAGTCACGTGGGTTCTGTATCTGGTATGCGGTACGAACAAACATTAAAACGTTTCAACCTGGAATTCGCGAGAAAATATAGGTGAGGCAAAACAAGAATGTATGATAATCACGCATTTTTCGTGAACACCTTCTAACCACGTGGCGAGATCAAAACGATGTTTTACCGCATACCAGAAGTGACGACATATAAGATGGCTGCCTTCTTGTGGAAAAGGTGTATAGCTGAATGCTCTTCCCAAGAACATAGGTTTCACATATATTTTTAAATAAAAAAAAAAAAATACATATTACGTTGAAACATCGTATGGTGTAAGGTCTCAAACACGCGGCCCGCGACTCTCTGGGACGTGGCCCGCAATTGTGCCCCGTGGCTGCGAGCTTCCGTCCTCATGCCTCGACCGCTGCATGCGTTATAAATAATGGCCTCTTGTTGTGCATTCATTCCCACTGGAAGCGCAACTTTACTCTTATGACGTTTTAACCTATTTCGCACTAACCCGTTTTCTTTCGGATCGAGGATCCTGTCGTCTTACTTACCGTTAAGACACAGGTATTTTCTTGCAATTCTGCTATAAAAATCGTCAGGAAAGAAAGAACTACCATACGAAAAGAATTTCGTTCGTGACACGTTGAATTCGGATACATCCCGAGTTTATTCAGGGACATAGTAAATAACGATTGTGTGCTTGGTCTCTAGTTGTATGGAAAAAATTCCAGCCCGTTGGCTAAATGGTAGTAATTTAAATCCTATAGTCCCGCTGGGTATAAACTCGAAGCAGTTGTATGCAATAATGAAAGCTAAAGACGGCACTGGCAAAGCGGTTATTTTACAAAAATCGAATAGCACGAAATCTCTTTTTTAGGAAATATCTGGGCGTCCCTAAAGGCCCGTTCACACCCTTGCAACCGAGTACGACCGAGAGAGACGAGATCTGTTAAAACTTCTTAAAATTTCTTAGGACGAGGGAACAGACTGGCATTGCTGCGCCCTCTATGCGGTGACCCTGCAGCCGCATTTCACAAGAGCGAAGGTTTTGTGGGATTTCCGGGGTCAAACGTGCGTAATACCTATAAGAAAGGCTCGCTTTTAGCGTTGACAAAAGTTTTCCGAGCCAAGAAAGAAAGGATAATGCGCGAGAGAAATAGAAAATATGCTGGACCGCCAAGTTTACGCTGCTACCCAATAGATGGCGCCAGTGTGTCCTCTCGTTGTAAGAGGTTTTAAGGAACCCAGTTTTAAGAGGTCGCAAGAGTGTGAACGGGCCTTTAAAGACTCGGCTGCTTTGCAACGTGGAACACCATGGCCTGTTACAGGTCAAGAATACAGTGATGTGATTGCTGCGCCAATTGTGCCAAACTGCGCCAAGGGGCTAACCCTGCTACATCCTGCTACATTTTGCCAAATTATGGGTGATCTGCGCCAAGCCTGCGCCAAAAGACCAATTTTGGTCGTCTTTTAAAACCGGAACTAAACTGAGTACCGTAATTGAGCATGTGTGAGCTAGGTAGCGCAAGCGGCCGTTCAACAAAAAGTACCCTCTATCATTCGTCCATCCGGGCTGCATAGTTTTTCCTGCCACCTCTCGTTTCACGCTCTCGTCATTAATGTGTCTCGTCTCGCGCTTTAAAAAAAAAAAAAAAAAAAAAAAAGAAAATTCAAAGATTGACGCGGGCATGAGTTGACGCTTCAGTGCCTCAGTCATTGTACAAAGCGCTCCAAGTACTTTTTGACCCTGACTCGCGAGGTCTTGTTTTGACCTGACTCGCTCAGGTTCTTTTTTTCTGTGTGTTTAGCTTGTGCCTCGCCTGCCGGCCTGGCAAGCACGTGCCGCTGGACAGTTTTTTGTCGTATGCTGAACAATTATACTTTGCATACAATTTTGGGGACCAGTTGGCGACGGAGCGGAGTGGCATGGTGTCTGTTTCGATCGAACAGCCATCTCCGCTCGCGCGACGAAGCACGTGCAAATGCAAGCCTGCCGAAGTTGCCCTCATGTGCATGCGAACATGACTGCACGACAGAAGCACTAGCCGAGACGCTTGCAACCCATTGTTTTACGTTCGCTTACTTTTGACGAAAATCTGGCACGTCGGGGACCAGTAAAATGGTGGCAAGCGGTTTTTCGGAATTGCTCGGCAACGCCCACAGCACTGTTCAGTTGTGGGATGTCTCAATGTCTCTTTGGAGACATTGAAAGTGGGAATTCATTACTAGCCAAAGGCAAAGTGAGGCTTGCAGCAGCGTTGTAGAAAGTTTCGAAAGGTAAAAAGAAAAGCACCCACTAGTCTTAATGCACCTTTGTCTTGTGTACAATTTCGCATTGTACTGCAGTAGTTACGTGTATCATCAGTTGGAGACAGCTTCCATTTATTATATCATATAACTATGGTAGTCAACCTAATGCTGTGATATTTACTAATAAGCTGGTCATTTTCAAATACATTTTAATATGTCCTGTTTGTTTCTTTTTTATCTATAACGGTACATATATGTATAATTTAACGAAAGCATTGCAAAATGTGTCATGTCATTGTCATTTCAGTTACATGTTGAAAGACTCCCAGGTGGTCTAACTTGACCATAATTTGTTTATTGCGGCGAGCGAAGTGTCCTTCGTTCGTCCAGCACTTAAAACGAATATGTTTATTTTTCTAAGAATATCTGCTCCAAAAGCCACTTTTGCTTCTCCGGAACACTGTTTTGGCTGCTCCAAAGGCCAATTTTTCTGCTCCAAAACACCCTTTTGGCTGCTCCAAAAGGTGCTCCAAAACGGCTTAGGCTAATCACATCACTGAGAATAGCAGGACAAGCTCCTCCCATAAAGCCCTCCACTCTTTTCACTTTAACAAAGCGAATGCTGGAGAAAAGACGAGTCCGTCAATCCGTCCCCGACGAACCGACGGACTCGCTCTAGTCGCTCTAGTGGGACTAGGGCATGAATAAGCAGTTTTGACAGCCTTTATTGCTAGGTCGGGATATCCAAACTGCGGCTCGCGAGCCGCATGCGGTTTTTTTTTGTTGGTCCAAGTGCAACTCGGGGCTCCCTAGTAAGCGCACCCCTCTTTCCCCTCCTGTGCCCCCCCCCCCCCCCCCCCAAAAAAAAAAAAAAAAAAAATCTGTTTGTGCATTTTTTTAGTACATACGTACATACACCTGGGCTGCTTTTCGACACATAGGTGTGTCCAGTGACCCTGTTTCCTTTATTGTAACTTCGAACCGTATACGCAAAACGGACGTCTGGAGCTGTGGCTGGCTAGGGAACCATTCATTCATTTTTGCTCAGCGGTTGAAGAAACGTTCTGCTGTCTAGGGTTGTTAGTTGTAGTCGACAATTATACTTGTCCCCTTTGGAAAGGAATCTTTCCCCCATTTCGTTCCTTGTTAAAGGTAATCCCCCCCTTTTTTTTTTCTTCCTGCGGCGCTTTGAATCTTTGTAGTTTCGTATGCGGCTCCCACCCCATGTCACTTTGGCCACCCCTGGGCTAGGCCCCATGGACAAACCAAAAGCACCCCTGGGTGTGAGAAAACTCCCGGTGTAAAAACCGCTCGTAGAAAAGAAAAAAACAAACAAACAGTGGTATCGATTTTTAAATTTAAAGTTCTATAACGCATGATACGCATAATTTGAGGAGCGATCGTTTAATACCCCTGTCAGACGGGAAAGTAAATGTCATTTTTATCGAATTCCATTCACCGCTCGGCGAATCAAGTCGTGATTCTGGCTCTGCACGTGGCGCATTAAACACGCGGATTGGCCGAGCTGTAGTCTCATTTTGTTTAAATCTCATTTAACGTGCCCGTCTGACAGGGGTATTAAAATGACATCTAAAGGAGTCGTTTCGGGGAGTGAAGACGAACCATATCTGTATCAATTTACCCGCTAAATTCAGCAGGGAAACTAAACTGGCGTATATAAGTCACGTGAATCTCACAGATAAACTTAACGTGGAGACTAAATCGGGGTATAGTTCACGTGACTTCTATTTCCTCTTTAATAAGTTTAAAATGTCCAGACGGACAAAACTTTGGGATATCATCGGGGGGTCGCCGTTAAAGAGCATTTCAAGCTTTAAAGTTTAAAGTGACGACTTCCTTTTCTCCCGCAGCTGGGCTACGCCAAGTCGGGCCAGGTGACAGCGGGCATCCACTTCCGCGTCTACAGCCGAGCCTTCATCATCGGCGACGGAACCTCGAGGGTGGTCATCGTCAACATCGATTCCGGCATGGTCTCCGACATCGTCAAGACGCAGGTATGCTTGAGAGCACATCCAGTCGATAGCATTTTAAAAGAGGAGGCCTCCACGTGACGTCGTTGTTAGCGGCGCCGTCACAAAGCGGCAGGCCCGTTCGTCTTGGCGTTGTCGCCTGCTAGCGTCGCGCTTGTTAGAGGGCGCTGCTAGAATACCAAATCAGCATTTTTGGCGACGCCAACAACCGTGCGCAGTACTGCTCGTTTACGTTGTCTTCTGTTCAGTCAATAACTCTCAAAAGTGACGCAAAAAAAAAAAAAGGTTTCGTAAATTTGTATTTTTTACGTCTGCTAGTGATGTTTGTTGTCTGTGTCTCTGGTGGGACGACGCCATTGAAGTCCCCAGGTGCGCAGGGACGAATGCCATTATAACGGAACTTCGCCCTTAACCGTATAAAAAAGGCACCCTGTGGCGAATGTGTAGAGCTTCTTTGGAAGCTAAGAAGAGGACAAAAATGGACAGCGACCTTTACCTTCAAACTCATCTAATGCACGAGTGTCGCGTGGCGTGTATTTTCCCTCTAAATTTAGCGGGTAACTTAGATGGTGTATTGGTCACGTGACGTCGATTTCCCGCTAAATTTAGCGGGGAAACTGAATTGATGTTTTGGCCACAAAAAGGTGAATTTTCCTGCTAAATTTTAGCGGGGAAACTGAGTTGACATAGGTCACGTGCCGTCAAATTCCTCGAGATGTACAGGTCACGTGACGTAACGTGACGCTACTTTCTCCGCTAGATTTAGGGGAAAATGCACGGACGGACGGATGGACGGACAAAATTTTGGGATTCGAGTTAGCGTTACAAAGCATCTCATGCTGTAAAATAAAATTTGGAACATCCTATCACAGACCACATTGGAAGCAATCGAATGGTGCAAGGCCATCTATAAGTTGTGGATAGCGCTGCACGTTTCGTGCGGCAGTGAACAGTTCAAAACACGGATGTTCTTACGTTCTTGTTGCCGCCAAAAAATGTGGTAATCAGTCGCTAGGTGGAAGGCTGCGCGCGTATACGCAGGGCTTTTAAGGTTCATTCTTTTATAGCGACGCCCCGTTAAAGCTGTCATTTTGCGAACACCATAAATGTCCGACTGTCCCGACTTTAAGGCGACAGGCCTTGCATAAATATCCCCCCCCCCCCCCCCCCCCCCCCCCTGCGCGCGTATACGCAGGGCTTTTCTATTGAAAGGTTCGTTCTTTTATAGCGACGCCCCGTTAAAGTTTTCATTTTGCGAACACCATAAGTGTCCGACGGTCCCGACTTTCCTTTTTCTGTTCTCGTTAGAGTAAGGCGACAGGTCTTGCAGAAATATCTCCCCTCCCCCCCCCCCCCCCCCCCCCCCGTCCATATTAATTTTGTTTGCCTGGCATTAACCAATACCTGCGTGGTGTGTCTGTAGGTGGTGGCGCAGCTGCAGAAGCAGTTCGGCCAGGACCTGTACCGCGAGGACAACGTGTTGCTGACGGCGACGCACACGCACTCGTCGGCGGGAGGCTTCATGCAGTACCTGCTGTACAACCTGCTCACGCAGGGCTTCATCAAGCAGGCGGAAGACCTCCAAGTCACCGGCATCGTCAGGGTACACGCCGTCCCCGCCCATCAAAATTTATCAAAACAAAACCGACTTATGTTTTGCGAGGAAAAAAAAAAAAAGTATTGGCGGAAAAAAAAAGTTTAGAAGCACGTTTTCATTCCGAAGCGCTTTCTGCGCATTGCGCAAAGTTGGCATTTCAGGCACGTCCCCCAAGACAACTGTTGCGTCTACGGGTCTAAAAATATTAACGTGATAGCGTTAAGGAGCTCTGTCGCAGAAAAGCCGGCCTCGGTGGCGTGGCAGAACTAGAAGAACCGGCTGCGACGCGAATTCGGATTGTTCGATAGGCTCATGACGTCACAGCCACATGACCTCGCGCGGGAATTTCAAACAACCCACAACGCTCACGTGAAACTTGACGTCGCGCGTGGAATGAAAGTGATTAAAAAACATGACATGTAATGCGAATTAAAGGTCGCCGCATGTCTCAAATGATTTCACTTTATAAAGTACCAATTCATTTGCCTTAAAGGAAACTTTGACTATTTTAGGCGGGATTGGAACCCACGACCTTTCGGTTGCGAGCGCGATACGCTACAGATAGGCCACACAAGGCACGCTTGCACGGCGAATGAGAAGGCGATGCGAACGGTGACCAATAACGCTGCCTCGTTCCGCTCTTTAAGGGGCGGTGCAACGATATTCAATTGGAATGTTTTTTCATTTTGTTGCGGTGTAATTTCAAGGACAAAAGCGAGCGTTTTCAATCTCTCCTTCGCAAAACTTGATAACGTAGCTGGGCAGTCGCAGTACCACTCAGTGACGATATTTGAAGGCGGCTCATAGATTCGAATCGAGCATTGCGTGGGCACTCGATTTGGGCTCGTGGTAATCGGTAGCTTGAGAAGTATTCGGGTAGTGGCCCATGTCTAATCGCCGCAATGACAACAATAGGCGAACCATAACAATGTCTTGAGCTCAGATCGTGTCCTGTGCCTTGCCAAACCTACTTTAGCCAACCCCGGCGCGTGGCTATGATCAACATTGGCGGCATATAATCGGCTCCAGATCACGTGGCCGCTTGTACTGGCTGCGAGTTGAGGGGGTAAACGCTGTTCGTTTTTCTTTAATTTTTTTCTGGAACTTCTATTGCGCGTGAGGTGAAAAACGAACGCGTGTTTCATAGGTCATTAACGTCAGGGATCCTTTCTATGAGGTATTTGCGCAAAGTACAAAAATCGTTGCATCGCCCCTTTAAAGGAGCGATGCAACAATTTTTGTACCTTGCGCAAATACCGCTTAAAACGGATCCCTAACGTTAATGACCTATGAAACACGCGTTCGTTCTTCACCCCACGCAATAGAAGTCCCAGAAAAAAATTTAAGAAGAACGAGCAGCGTTCACCCCCTCAACTCACAGCCAGAACAAGCGGCCACGTGATCTGGAGCCGATTATATGCCGCCAATGTTGATCATAGCCACGCGCTGGGGTTGGCAAAGCGCAGGACACGCGCTGAGTTCCAGACATTGTTATGGCTCCGCTGTTGTCGTCGTTGCAGCGATTGGACACGGGTCACTACCCGAATGCTTCTCGAGCTAGCAATTATCACGAGCCCAAGTCGAGTGCCCACGCAATGCTCGGGTCCAATCTATGAACCGCATTCAAATATCGTCACTTAAGTGTACCGCGATCCCCACGTTACGTCATCAAATTTTGCAAATAAGAGACTGAATGAAAATGATCGCTTTTGTCCTTGAAATTACACCGCAACAAAGGAGTTTCTTGGCCAGTGGCGTTCCGTGTGAGTATCCTTGAGTCCCACTAGTGCCAGTAAGCTCGTGTAGAGTGAAAAACATTCCAATTGAATATCGTTGAACCGGTCCTTTAAAGAAGAAGCTTAGGTGTCCTCCAAGTTTTTTTACTGACAAAATACGCACAGGAAGGTTTGATCCTAAGTATTTACTACGGAGGAATGACTTCGTTAGTTCGCGAAGAAAAATCGCAGACTCGGCACATTGCGCAATAATGCTTACCTTTTTTCCTCACACCTGTAAACGCTAAGACTTTACAACTGCTCGCGTGTTGCGCTGTATTTTGTTACTCTTTCAGCTAAGTATTGTTATCCTCATTAGTGGGACAAATAAAAAAAAACGCTCAAATGGGACCAGTTTATTAAATATTCTAAATTAATTAAAAATAGTCCACCTTCGATTTTTCTTAAAAGTCTTCCCATTTAAGCTTAATAATATGTACTAACAGAATCTGGAAGCACAGGTTGCATTATTTTTGTGTTTTTGGGGTTATAAAGCGAGAAATCTGGTCAAATAATGGGCTTGTTTGTTACCCATAGATGAGGCGGACGGTTGTCTTAAAGTCACAAATCTGCGTGCGTTTCTGTACTAGAGTCGCAGAAAATGCGCACACGGGAATAAGCAAGCGAGAGGCGCTATCATATACCGCATGCTTCGCGGGGACTGTTTTCAGTAGTCGGTGTGTAGCGTCTCTGTGCACGTCTCTGTGTTTCCTGCGGCTCACCGTTACGGTGGCTTGATTTCCGCGTGGAGGCGCCGGCAGCTTCAGTTGTTGTTGTTTTTTAATAAAAAAATATATAATTTAAGAAACTGAATATGGTTTATTAGTTCGAAATCTAGCTGCGGGCAAATTTTGCTTCCTTCTCTTCGCGTACTCAATTCTCACTTCAGGAACACCGTCCGCCTCTGTGTTGTCAATTTGTTTCTTTCTGACCACTCCCGAACATTTTTACGCTCCGTAAAAATGATGAACTCGTGAACTATGGGTCTGTACGGCACTGCGGTAGCTTCAGTCTGGGCAGATTTCTCGCTTTATAGCATTAACGACACAAAATAGTGCAACACGTATTTTCTGATGTTAGTGCATACCATTAAATTGGAATTGGAAGAGTACAAAAAAAAAATCGAAGATGGCCTTTTTTAATATTTATTTTCAAAAAAAAAAATCGTATTTTGTCAAATTTGCGGGATCCTCTTAAATTTGTCCCTCTTACACTCTAAAAAAAGCCAGTGCATCCACTTTCCCGCACAGCACTCGGAGAGCCAATCACCGCAACTTACGGAGATAGCTCAGCGAATGACGATGCCGAAACATATGTTTAGACCAAAAAACGCAGTCTGAGTTGTCACAACTCAGACTGCGTTTTTTTTTTATCTAAACATATGTTTCGGCATTGTCATTCGCTGAGCTGTCGCCGTAATTTGCGGTGATTGGCTCTCCGAGTGTTTTGCGGGAAAGTGAACGCAAGGGCTTTTGTTAGAGTGTACCAGAACAACGATATTTAGTGCAACGATTAATAAAATACAGGGCAACACACAGCGAAGTCTAAAAATCTTAACGTTTATAGTTGCGAATAAAAAACAAAGTAATCAGTTAAGCATTATTGCGCAATGTGCCGTGTTTGCGATTTTTCATTGCAGACTAACGACGGTGTTACTCCGTAGTATATACCGTACTTGGGATCAATACTTTCTACACGTATTTTGTGAAAAAAAAAAAAAAAAATATATATATATATTTTTAGACCCGTAGGCGAAACAGTTGCTTTTGGGGAGGTGCCCGAAACGCCAACATTGCGCAATCCGCAGAAGGCGCTTCGGACGCAGGGCGTGCGCTTCTAAATTGTTCAATAAAAATTAAAAAAAAAAGAAATATATATATATATATATATATATATATATATATATATATATATATATCAACAAACAAATTTTTTTTCGTCAAAATTACAAATGGTTATTGAACATGGTCGGCTGAACTCATCTGAAAACATCCTCTTTGGGTGGATTGAATAATCAATCAGCCGACAATGTCTAAAAAAAGTAGTGAGAAAAAAAAAACTACTATTTTTAGGCAGTGATTAAATCATGTAATTTTGACCTAAATAATATAAATCTGACTTTTTTTTTTACGCAAAATTTGTATTTATTTGGTTGTGGCGCCGCCGCCTACGGCGTCGCACTCGTCGAGGCACTGGAAGACGGGCTAACGGCGATTCCAGCGCGTCAGAAAGGGTCCATCCGCAGGTTTTTTCCTCAATTATCCAGCGGGATCACGTACGGTGCTTGCAAGTTGTTGAGATTTTGAAGCATCAAGGGGAAATGTAGGAAAAGTCGGCACCTTTTTTCCATTCAGTTTCATTTTGGCGCGTCCGCTTCTGCGACATCATTCCGGCAATTTGAGATTCCGAACCTGAGGTACCTTTACGGAGCTTCTCCAATGAAACGGTGTGCTCTCATCCTCTGAACTAAATTCCGACAAGCGTTAAAAGTCTGAATTCGGAAGAGCCCACTACCGCCAGAGAATTCCGATTTGCGAAGCGGCCATCTCTCCCGTGCCACGTGCGCGGAACGTCTAATTTCAAGACTATAAATAGCCTCGGCAAAGTTGTGCGAATGTAACGTTTCTAGTTCGCCGAAGACACGACAAATTGCAACAACACACGTGGTGCGCGCGATTTCGCTTAAAGCAGACACTTTCAAATGTGTAATCACTGCTGTACATACATGTGCTGTGAGGAAGTAGTGCCCGCCTGGGTGTCCAAACAGGACACTACAAAACCCGCGACTCCAGCAAATCGTGCCGCGCTCTGCCGCGATCCGCTTCCGGCCGTCGGAGGGAAATTACCCTCAAATCTCCCCCTCGCTTCCTCCACGGCGGCCTTGCTCTGCTCATCACGTGGGTCCGGAGAGCCACTCACACGCTCTGTTGGCTGTCGGTCAATCGCTCAAGGCCTCCGCTCACAATACGGAACCGCATCGGACGCCATCACGACGAAAGTGAATCTCGACAAAGAAAGCAGATCCGAGGCGGGCGAAACGCACCCTTCGACGCAGGAATATCCCAAATCCACCCGAAGCCGGACCTCCTTGGCCTTCGAGCCGAGGCGACGGCGGTACGCGAGGGCGTTGGCGATGTGAGACAGACGCAGGTGGCGTGTGACGTCAATGTGAAGAGGAGAGCAGTCGTGATCGTAAAAATTTTCACCGCTCCTGCAAACATTTTCACGACTCCGACAGCCCGTAAAAATAGAAGCGTCCGCTTCAATTTTCACCATTTGTCGGAGTCGCGGGTTTTGTAGTGTCCTGTTTGGACACCCCTGTGCACTTCTTCTACTCGTCCTTCGTCGGTTTTTTCCTGCGCTGTTCCCACCTATTAAGACCCTTAATGGACATCGCGATCTTGCGCGGCTCGCTTCCCCGCTGCGCAGCCATGGGCTTTTGGGGGGAAAGTACTCTTCCAGGGCGGGCCGTATACTTTTGGGGGAAAATAGTAAAGTACTTCTTCCAGAGCGCTCGAGCCGATTGCTTTGGAGGAAAGTACTCCATAATCGAGCACGCGCATACGATGAGTATTTGAAGAAAAAAAAGGAAAGAGAAACTGGTGAATGGCTAAGGCTTATGTGGCAGCTCTACCTCGATGTAAAATATTCAATACATGATCGTGGCTAATACTCGAGATTTCGTGGTAATTTTCTCTTGTACCGTCCAGTCGCTCGCATCGCTGGTCGTGATTTTGTTCCGAGTTCGAGGTCTAAGTAGAAATGTAGAAATATTTGTGTGTATACAGACCATACGGAGCTAGGATTTCTAAATACCCTCGACACGCTATAGCTGAGCTGCACTATAGAAGTAATTTTTGTTCCTCTCGTAGTTACCTCCTCTGTAGAAAACTTCAAGCCGCGCGAAGGCGATGTCTCTCAGCATACGGACAGTCCAACGCACCAATCTTAACGTGGTGCTCACAAAATGAGAGCGAACAAACGCGTTGTTTACAAGCACCTGTATATACAAGATAATCGATGGTAGACGCTTAAAAAGGATTGCAGGGCCCCTTTAAGGCTGTCACTTAAAGTATCATAGGGAGCTGTAGTGTAGCTCGTTTTCACGTTCCGCTCCGAGCCTGCCTAATCGCGCGTGCGCCGCGGACAACGCTCAAGCTTAGAGCGGCCGTGCCTGCGCTGTGGCGATTGTGCACCTCCGGAGTGCGGAGCGGGCGTACGAAAGCGGTCTATGCTAAAACTCGCTACTTCCCTCTTCGAACGTGCACGTTTACGGATCTTCACGACCAACTAGCGCGCAGCTGGAGGGCTCCATTTCTAATAACCTAAAAAAAAAAAAAAAAGAACATTTGCGAGCTTGACATTTTTTACGGGCACGAAATAAAAGCGGGCTGACAATTGCCTCCATTTTTTTTTTTTTTTCTTTTGGGGGTGGAAGGAGATAAAAGTACAAGGTGTTAGGCGACAAAATAAAAACGGCGACCCTTCTCACAACAACAACAAAAAGAAAGTACGTATCGTTTAACGTTTAGTTTGAGGATCTGCGACCGGGAGCCGCCAGTGTGAGCATTTTCGATGACGACCGCGAACTTTCGGCTCTAACTTTGTGTTTGACGAGTTTAGGGCCCCAGATGTCCAAGTTTCATGAGTTACCCTGATCTCATTCAGAAGTTACGAGTGAGTTTTGGGGAAAGAGAAATTTTAATAAGGAGATGGAACGAGGCTCGAGAATACGTGGCGCTAAATGACGATTTCGAAAAAAAAAAAAAAAAATCTGAAATTGGTTTATGATTTTTTAATCAGATAACGGTAAGTTCTGAGGCTTTGGCATTGGGTTCCGTCCGCTAGCGCTACATTTGGGTGCAAACCCAGCGTTGGGTCAAGCGTAGTTTATTTTCACTGTGAGAAAAACCCGGAGTTATATTTTCTCCAAAAGAAAAAGATAGAGAAAAAACCTGAACAACACCAACAAAGAATAAACTTAACAGTCCCGCAATAAGGAAAATGCCTTCATCGTGCCATGTGTCAAGAAAAATCAGTACAAGAACACGTTACACATGATTGACATCATAGATACAAGATGGAGATTCTTCTGTATCTTTATTTTCTGGGTAGCGCATTCCATTCTTCGATGACTCTAGGCTAAGAACGGAATTTAAAAACAGTTCTAATGTTCATTTGTGAAAAGAGCACACTGACGGCGGTGAGTGCTCTGCGACGTTCTACCGGACGGTAGTCTCTACTACCAGCAGGAAAGTGGTTTCACGGCTGGCGGAACATGTCAGGCCTATATAGTCGCCATTTAAAGCGGGTCTTCGAAGGGCTTCGGCTTTATATGTCCACAGCGCCCAAAGCAAACATCGGATATATATATATATATATATAAAGTCGAACTGCCAATAATTGTCAAGTTTGATTGAAGAATAGATGCCGATGCAAAAGCTTCTGATGGTATCGGTCACGGGGAGTGTCGTTCCGCACTTTATTAAAAACAACCTTTGGATGAAACCGAAAATGCCAACGAACAGCGGACTGTGTAGTAAGAAGATGCCCATGGCGATCAAAAAAAATATATATATATATATATATATATATTTTTTTTTTTTTTTTTGTTACGAAGGTAAACACGACATTGAGCAAACGATGTCCCTGTTTTCTATAGGTTCAAGTGCGATCGTATTTCTGTTTCTTGTTGTCTTCCTTGCGACTGCGCAGAGCATCGAGCGGGCCCACAAAAGGATTACAAAAGGCTACATCTACTGGAACGAGGGTGACCTCGAGGATGCCAACATTAATCGCAGCCCGTCCGCCTACGAAGCCAACCCCGCCGAGGAGAAAGCCAAGTGAGTAGCGACGACGAGTAGTGTCAAGGGCCAAAATGTCTAGGTGCGTTCAACCCGACCCGACCCGACCCGACCCGACCCGACCCGACCCGACCCGACCGGACCCGACTTGACTCAGCCAGATCGTAGACTAGAACCTAGCTTGAACCCGACCCGACCGAAACTTCTAAGTGCGCGCGATCTGACCCGACCGGACCCGACCCAAGCTGATCTCTCCTGACCCTACGCGATCTTAGGCTGGAACCTATAGCTCGAACCCGACCAGACTGAAATTTTTAGATAAGCTTGACCCGACCTTACCCAATTCGGCTTTAGGCCTGAACCTAGCCTGAACCAACCTGAGCCTCGCCCGAGCCCGATACGGCTGAGAAACGGCGCGACCCGACCCTATCGAAGGTTCAAGGTCCCCAACTCTTGACCTTTTTTCATAACTGTTGCAGGGTTTGACCCACCCCGAATTCCATAATTATAGAAACTTTCAAAATTTATTTAATGTGTATCTAGCAGTAATGTAGGCAGGGGGGCGGTTTGTGGGAACCCTGACCCCCCCCCCCCCCCCCCTTCCCCGAAAACAATTCCTGGCTACGCCACTGCTTATCTAGAGATACATATTTACCGAGCGTGCAAGTCGTCGCAGCGCACATAGTCTTCAATTCGATGAACGCGCTGGAAAGCTCCCTAAATGACCAAAGTAATTAACTAGATAGTTGTCCACACTTAGCGCGCAAGAGAGACCACTTGCGCCCATACCAGCTTTGCTGAAGATGGTGACGACATCGGCGCCATCTGGGTCTGTGCATGCAAGAGAATATTGGGGTGCTTGAATTAGGCAGCCAGCTTGAACGATGGCCTTGGTTTCGGGCTTCTTGCTCGCAATTGCTTTGACCTCGGGAGTTTAGCGAAGAACAAACACGTCCACAGAAATCATGAGCAGCACGGTAGTTGTACTTTTCATTATTTTTACGGACAATGTCATTCCTCGTAAAACAGGGCAGGAGAGGCACCGCGTCACGGGAAAAAAGATCGGTTCGATTCCGGTGGGCGCAGTACCGTCATTGAGAGTCGTGATCACTCATAACTTTGGAAATAATTTTGCAGATACAAGAACAATACCGACACGAAGATGCTCTTGCTGAAATTCACAGACCTTCAGAATAATCCCATCGGAATGATAAAGTAAGTTTGACTGCATTGTAAATAGTAATCTACGGGTGGGGGAGTTCATCTCTTCAAATTTAAAAGCTCTCTCTCTCTCTACCGTGCCGTATTTCATATATTTCACAGTAAATGCGGCATGGTAGAGAGTGAGTCGAAGACGTAGACAGAAGATGATCCATATTTGGATCATCCTCCGTCTATATCTTTGACTCACAAGCGGGACAAGAGTAGGGGACGAAAACATAAAGTATTGTATTAAAAATGTTATATTTCCTACTTTAACGCTTTTATGATTAGCGTCTGTGTTTTGGCAGAGTCGAAGTTGTACCCTAAAGTTCGTGAAGCAAAGATTAAATTCCTCAACGAAGTCTGAAATATGTTTGCTAATACGCATTTTGTTATATGTGCACTTTACTCAAAATACGTTTTTTTTTTTTTTTTTTTTTTATGCTGCGTATAAAATATCTGCACGTCCTGCGTTTTCTTGTCTCCGTGTCTAAATGACACGAAGACAAGAAAACGTTGGTATGTATAGCGTACCAACGCGGCTTTAGTCAATATCGTGCGAAACAAACTAGCCCGTTCTTAAGCTTTGTTGTTACACAAGATACTTAAAAAAAAAAAAAGTTTGAATGTAAAGTATTGGGGAGTAAAGTAGCCACAACGAGGCCGCATTTCTTGTTTACCTGTACACTAAGGCACGCCGCGAGGGCGCGGTAGCCGGCCTGGAGGTGCGCTTCTCCGCATTCCCATGTGTGCACCGCGGGAAAGCGGTAGAGTCGCAGAAATGTGAATGCGCAGACTCGGGCTGGCGCGAGTGCAGCACTCCGTGTTTACGTACTAAAACAGTTTGCAGCAAGGTTTTTGTAGCGCGTCAAGGTTGCTGTAGATGTGCGAAGCCCTTGGCATGGTGCGTGAAGGACGTAACGCCGCAACTGCGGCTGCGGTGAACATACGTCCCTCTCATTCACCCTCCGCAACCTTCGTTTCAACGGCGCATTTGCCGAAGTTTCGCTTGTGGGCGTTGTGGAAACCTCCTCAAGGTCAGCCAGCGCTTTATGGAACGATCGAGCTTTACCTTATCTTGTGCTATGCCAGCAGTTTTCTCCCATAGCCGACGCTACGACGCTATGTAGCCCATCGAGCAGAGCCAAAAGTGCGTTTTGCGTTTGCTATTTCCAACTCAACTGATATGCGCAACACCAATTGCCTCATAATCCTGCGCTTTTTTTTTTCTTTTTTTTCTGAGTGAGATTGGTCTAGCCGGTGAGATAGCAAAGGCACAAAGACGACAAGCGCCATGACGATGCGTTTTTGCCGCTGCTTGACTGGCTACATCGGATCGTGCGTATACGCTACGGAGCATTGAAGAGTTCGCGGTTAAACGGGGTGGGAGGAGTACCCGGGCGAGTTGCTTCTTCCAGCGCACCGTGTGATGCGGCAAAGCCGAACTCAGTGAGCGCTGGGTGCCGGGGCTGGGCAGTTATATTCCAAAAAGTCTTCCAGAATACAAATACTGAGATATACTTGTGCAAAAGCACTGAAAAAGTATTCCACGGAATACAGATACAGGGAACTACTTTTGTTCCCGAACGGTACTACGTGGAGAGGGCGTGGTGAATGCAAATGGAAATTTAGGCTTGCGCTCCTTTTTTTAGAGCGCAGCTCTTATACGCCCGTTTCCGATTTGAGCGTCGTCGTCGTAACCGCGCCTTGCATTATGGGACGTTTTCCCGCTAAAGGCAGCGGGGAAATCTTCTCGCTAAATTTAGCGGGAAAATTGTTCCGCTAAGTTTAGCGGGAAATTGACGTCATGTGACCTCAACACAAATTCAGTTTCCCTCCTAAATTTAGTGAAAATTTTCCCGCTAAATTTTGCGGGGAAATTTTCCCGCTGAATTTAGCGGGGAAGGTTCTCCGCTAAATTTAGCGTAAAAGTTTCTTGCTAAATTTAGTGGGGAAACTGACGTCACGTGACCTTAACACCAATTCAGTTTCCCTGCTAAATTTAGCGGGAAATTTAGCAAAAATTTTTCCGCTAAATTTAGCAGCGAAGCTAAATGGGAAGGGAGCAGGAGAAGAGGAGGGGAGGAGAAAAAGGGGGCATACCTTCCCCTCCTCCTCCTCAAGAGCTGCACTCTAATTTGGTATTACAGAGAATTATAAACGTCTTTAATTTTGATCTTTTTGTGTCATTTAATGTACTTACCCCTTACCTCAAACTTTTTAATTTATCAAAAATGCCGCTAAAAAAAACATGTCATTCCCAATGAACCACATAGTTACTAAATGATAAAGACTGCTTGCCATGCTTGACAAAAGGTGTCTGCACGAAACAAACCCTGTTTTGTTGAGAGGACAAACCTCATATTGTCGTCTTAAAATTCCTGTATAGGCTCCCTACGGGAGCCAGAGTTGCGTGTTCATCCCCATGGTGCCGTCTTTCCTGCTCAGCATGTTGAGCTGCTTTTCACGTGACTGAATTTGGCGAATAGCGGCGCCGTGTGTTCGAGGCACGCAGCACGCTCAAAAGCAGGGGAATGTACGCCGGGGCGTGCTCAACGTCTACTTTCCTGCACGGCATTTGAGTCTGCTCCTCACGTGATCGGATCTCAGCGAATAGCGGCGCGGCGACACGCGGAAAACAGATGTGCAACTCTGGCTCCCGTAGGGAGCCCATACAGTAATTTCATGTCGTCTTATATGCTTCCGATTCACCTATAGCAGGGTTAGGCAGTATCGCGATACAAATGTATCGCGATAGTTTTTAGAGATATTTACGAGTGTCTGTATCTCTGTATTGAGATACATTTGAAAAAGGAATAGTATCTCAGTAGCGAAATACATTTACAGTGTATCGCTTGTGTTGTGATACTTTGCCAGACATCGGAAAACAGTCGTACCCTTTCTCCACTCAACTCCTTTACAGCATTTGCTCTGCTAAATTGGAAAGAGTGGAGAGCTTGGTGGGAGGAGCTTACTCTGTTACTCTTTCAAGTAGCCTTCTTAAAACCAGTTTTTTTTTATTTAACGTTGGTGACTGTGATGGATCATAGGGTGGGCTCATGTTATAAATTCTGAAGCACCTTGCACCCAAGTAGATGTTTTTACCTTTTCTATTCATCGTAAAAATGGCAACAAATGTAACGAGGTACCTATGTCTAGAAAAGTATCGCGATACAAGCAATACACTGTAAATGTATTTCACTACTGAGATACAAATACATTTTTTAAATGTACATCGATGCAGAGATACAGATACTTGAAAGTATCTCTAAGATACTACTGAGATACATTTGTGTCGCGATACTGCCCAGCCATAGCTGTGAGGCGCAAATTTTTCCACGAAAGCGACGCCCACTTCGGCACCACACACGATGTCGGACAAACATCCGCTGAATTATAGCTGACAAAGGAGCCTGTATATCGTACATTTTCTTCCTTAACATACTCTTTCATTCACAAAACTCGTTTCGTCTAACTAGTCATGATGAATGATATTGAAAAACAACAAAATTCCGCATAGTTCACACCTGTAGATAGTCAACGCCGAAACACGTGAAATTTCACGGAGTCTAATCGTGAAAATACAGTATATATTTTCCGCTCCGTCTTTCAGTTGGTTTGCCGTGCACCCAACCAGCATGAACAACAGCAATAAGCTGATCAGTGGTGACAACAAGGGCTACGCTGAAATGATGTTCGAGAAGAAGATGAATGGGAACGGTTTACCTGGCAAGGTGATGGGCCTCCTATTTTTTTACACAATCATGTCAGTACTAATGAAATCAGTCTTTTTAATTTTAGGCATTTAATCGGATAATGTACAATAGCCAAAATATAGATTTTTCACAATTCATAAAAAAATTCAAAATTAAAAAAAAAAAAGAATAGCAAAACATTGACCATAAATGTTGTGTCTGGATTGTTTCCTGGAGCTAGTTTATTTGATTTGTCAACTTCTGCTTTCCATTAAACGGCTTTATATCGGTAAATGGAGTTATTTCTGGGGTCAAGTAAGCCAAGCTTTTTTAAAGAAAGTTTAATAAACATAATTTTTTCAAGGTTGTAGTGAATCAATTTTTAACTCTTTGTTTGTAGTCTCTGCATGGTGTTCAAATGTAATTGCTGTGCATTGATTTTTTTTTTTACAACATTCTATAGGGACCGTTTATAGCTGCTTTTGCCCAGTCCAACGAAGGAGATGTCTCTCCAAACCTGAAAGGTCCTCGCTGCATCGACACGGGACGTCCCTGCGACTTCGAAAAATCCACCTGCAATGGAAGGGTAAGACACGCTCTTCACAAACTCTCTTCACGGTGTGTTCATTTACATTTAAATTTACAAAATTAGAATTTTGCAAACTTTTTATAGTTGAGCAAATATTCAAACAGTGTTGCGGCGGTGAACTATGGGACTAGTGGTCAAAATTCTCTCATCGTAGCCCTTAACTGATCTTAGCTAGCACCACTTTCAATCTTCAATTTAACTCTCAAATTAATATTTGAAAACACAAAACGCTTGTTTTGCAGGAACTGTTCCTATGTGAAGAAAGGGGAAAGGACACAGGCGAGCTGGTGAACGACATTCATAGTAAACTCCAAACAGAGGAATAATAAAAACTGTGTTTTGTTGTTGTTGTTGTTGTTTTTTTTTTGTTTTTTTTATTCCTCTGTTTTGGGTTTACTATGGATGTTCTTATGTCCTTGCGGAATGCATGCCATAGAAAGCTGGCATCCATTGAAGCACAGTTTTGATCACATGCATTGGTAATTGATCCTAACTTTCTCACGGAGAGTTGGATTTGTTTTTATTATTTCTGCAAATAGGTGTGAATGCAAGCTGGTAGCGCTGACTGAGGGTCTGCTGTGCATTTCATAGAAGCATGGTAAATGGCTGGGAGAGGTGCAAAAATGCAAATGAGGTGCATATTCATGGCCACCTGATGGAGAAATGGGGTTATCTTTGGTGAAGCCTCTCTAGGACTGCAAGTTGGGCAATTTTTACAGGTTTTGGCACTTCGCTAGTTATGCATGCATGTTTTCTGTTTGAGCATCTGGGTTTGGATAATATTTTTATGTTGTCCCTTTTAAGCATAAATGCTTGATCGTATGCGCTGGTAAAATGTACTCGGGTAAAGAGTATACTTCTCATGTCTTTTGCTTGTTTTCCAGAATGAAAAATGCATTGCATTTGGGCCAGGCAAGGACATGTTTGAGAGCACTAAAATTATTGGCCAGCGTCAGATGCACGAGGCCCTGGTAAGCTTACTTTCGGAGTACGCTGAGTAAATTCTGGAAATATTGAAGTACCTCTAATTTGTTTTTTACGAGGTATCTGGGGAACATTTCTGAAATATGCAGATGAATTAATTGTGCCCATGAACAAGCACAATAATAAGAAACACCACCCTCTCCCCTAAAATAAAAAAAAAGATGAGAAAGACAAGGTTTGATTGGGGTCAATAGGGCTTTTTGAAATATGGTTGTCTCCTTAATAAAGAGCAGTCAACCAAGCTTTGATTCTTTTATGAAAAGATGCTGGGCTGTTTCGCAAATGAAGTCCAACGTGCAGTTAGAGCCAGAGTACCATATTTTATGGAGGGAATAGTTAATGACCGATTTTAAAGATACAGTACCCTACGTAGTTGCGGCAATCTGAGCAACAAATAAAGATGCTGTTCTGATTAGGTAATTAAGGTAAACGGCTGCAAAACAAATATTTTCTTTGAAACTGACACCGTTTACGAGGTTTGCTTCCCGGTCCTGGGTTAGTTCTAGCTGAATCGGCTGCCATAGTTTATCAATGTGGCTGCTAGTGCTGCCTTCAGTAAACGTTCGGGGTGCCGTTGCATTACTCACTTTGGACTTTAAGAATGATTTAGCAAGTGAAAACTTCTGGAAAAAATAACCTTTATTTTAAAGTGTCACTCCAGCCAAAATGATCATACCTATTCTTTTTTTTTTGTTACTGATCAACGCCCAACGGCAAGTGTCCGTATAACCTCTCTGCACATCCAACATCTGTTCTGTCTTCACAGCAATATTGACGTGTACACTTTCCCGTTTCTTGCAGGATCTGTTCAATTCTGCGTCGCAGAAGCTCTCTGGCTCGGTAAAGGTTGCTTACCAGACAGTGAACATGGGCAAATACGAAGTGGGCGACAACGAGGCCGAACCGGTGTGTGCCAAACTGCTGGAAATCTATTTTGCACTCCTTCGGCTCAAATGCATGTGCGGCACCAAGTGTGCGCGTGTGCATGGAGGATTTTATGGGAATGAGTTTGCCAGCTAAACGGAGGCTGACATTCAATTGCAGACCACGACCTGCACCGCAGCACTCGGATACAGCTTCGCAGCAGGCACAACCGATGGCCCGGGCGAGTTCGATTTCACCCAATGTGCGTTTTCCAACCTTCGTCGTGCATGTGCCTGAAATATGTCAGCACCAATTGTTTTACGTGTTTGCAGCGGGGTGTTTGGTAAAATTAATGTATTCTACTCATGAAAAGTTAAGTCCAGCAAGTGGTGAATGTGCAAAACACACTTTTATTGAGACATTTCATGCTTTTATTTTAGCTTTATCTCCAGGCTTTTGTTTTCAATTTATTTTTTATTGTTGTATGTGTCACCAATTGGGAGTGTGCATTGATGATAACAGTCGTGCCATATATATGGCACAAGAAGGGACTACCATATAATACTAAGGGCCACACAGGCACGTAGCCAGGGGGGGGGGGGGGGGGGGCATGGGGCCCAGCCCCCCCCCCCCCCTCGAAATCGTCAATTTTGCTGGGGCCTTCTCTCCCCCCCTCCCCCTCAACAGCATTTTGTCATGGGCGGGCCACCCCCCGAAACAAAATCCTGGCTATGTGCCTGGGGCCACATATATGCTTGCAGTGGGTTATTTATTCAGATACCTATACTCTGCCTGTATACTCCTCCCCACTCCTTACCCTGGACTCATCTTGCCAGAACACTTAACACACACACAACAGAGCGCTTAGTGGCAAAGCAAGCTTTTATTAATTTATTGCACAAAGTGAAATAAAAAGTGATGCTTCTGAGTGGCATGAAAAAGCGACTGGTGATCAGGCGTGGATTTGGGGGGGGGGGGGGGGGAAGGGGAGGAGGGGGAACACAATGACGACGATGACCCCCCCCCCCCCCCCCAAGCCCCTCAAGGTCAACATTTCTGTTTATGAAAAATTAATATACACTAGCTAAAAGGTCAGCTTTCGGTGACATGGCAGATATTGGGTCAACAGATTAAATCTGGGCAACAATTCATTTGTAACGTCATATCTCTGCAGACTCCCCCCCCTCCCCCCCCCCAGCCAAATGTTTACCGCCCCCCCCCCCCCCCCTCCCCAAGCCTGACCCATAAAACCGTCCCTGCTGGTGACTAACCAAAAAATACATTCGCCTTTTTTTTATGAGAAAAGCTTTTTGGCAATCCAATGCTTCCTATCTGAAGCTTTGAGCTGAATTTCTTGCTCACTATATTTCTTAGACAGTTAAAGCCACATGCCTTAAAAAAGGAAGGTAGGAGGGGTGCATAACTGACTTTATATGAAGAACCGGATTTTCCAAAATGTTGTTCCCCTGCAGCTACTACACGATCAACGCCATTCTGGAACTTTGTCCGGGATTTCATTGGCAAACCTTCAAAAGAAGCCATCAAGTGTCACTCCCCCAAGCCCATCCTGCTACCTGTGGGAGAGGTACGTCCCACTCAGTGAAGAGAACTTTGTGTTATACTCGCTGTCAACTCGAGAAATGCAGGGTGTGGTGGGTCTCGAGAATCTTGTTATCAGACTGCAGCCAATGAGATTGTGGCACTAGCCAATAAGAACTCCTGAAGCAAGAAGCATGGATGTATTGAATGACGCGCCCCGCAGTTCTCAAGTTGTCGGTGACCATCGTCAATTTAACTTTGGCTCTATAGTTTACTACTTTGGCTCTATAGTCTATACTAAAACACAGCTGCAGTGCCCAGGACAGGATGTCATGCATGTTCAGTTGGCCAGAGAGACCTGTAGTATTGGAGCAAGAAAATAGACAAAATGCACCAAAGCCTGGGAAGACACTTGACAAAATTACTTTCTGGTGCTGTCAGTATGAGGGGCACAATCTCTTCGTTAGACTGTGAAGCGACGCCAGTGATATTTTTATTAAGCCTAAGAAAAGTTGAAATATCCGAATAATCAAAGAAACAATACAAAATTGGTCTTGGCTCCACACACCTTCCAGTAGCCTTCTTTTACAGATGTGCTGGTCAAGCAGCGGTTGTCGGCACATTTAATCTAGATTGTGTACGAATTTACCTTGCTCGGATACATTGTTTCTGACGCAATGACCTGGCACCACCTCAACAGTTGAATGCAGTAGGCTCGCGGTAATTCAAACTCGGATATTTCATACTTCTGGTTAATTCAAACAAACTTTAAAATTTTATTGTTCCTCTATGTTCTCTTATGTGTTCATAAGCCGCTTAATTCGAACGTTTTCGTGTAATTCATGCTTTTTATTCTCGCGGCCCCGCTGAGTGTGCTTCTATCCGAGTATCGGTGCACCGCAGAGGCAACACGCACGGAGCTTGCTTCCGCGGGTGTTGCTTCTCCGCAGTACACCGGTGAGGTAGGCGAGAAGCGCACTCAATGGGGCTCAAGCGGGCACACATGAGTAATAAAAACGGGCACCACACGAAAATTGTCATAGAATCTTTCGTGGACGTTGTGACTTGGCGGCATGGCATAGGTCAACGTTACAACGTCCGTGCAAGTTGCTATGAAAACTGCCGCGCGGTGCCCGTTTTCGTCACTCATGTCCCCCGCTTAATAGTCCACATTCAAACTTCTCGGCCTGAGGAACTAACATCATTTTGTTTTGAGTTGTCATGTGCTGTCTAGAGTTCATGATAAACAACATTTTTGAGGGATAAATAAACCTATGCCATACATTTTACAAATGTTTCTTGTGTGGCATACCTGCTTGTAATCAGTAGGCCTATATGTAGGAAATCATCAAATAGCTGCTTTGTATGTGTAACCATTCATATGGAAAATCTTAATTTTATCTTGCATCATATTGTCACGTGGCGACGTCACTCAGACAACTTGAAAGAACATAAACAAAGGGTTTATTAGGCGAACTTGTGCCCTCCGAAAAGAAAGACCGGCGGGAGGCGAGTGTGGGCGGTAGCCGGCGAAGAGAATAATAATAGTAGCGGTCGGCCGGCTGCTATCTTTTTACCCGCTCATCGAACTTTCTAGAATCTTCGAATAACAACGTGCTGTTTCAGGAGCGGCGTCTCGATAAGCGTATGAACGAAAAGCGCGCACTCATGGCGCGCGTGCGTAAAGGAGGATAGATAACATTACGCAGCTCGCGGCTTGACACAGCACGACGCGTGGCAATATTTAGATGATTTTCTGATAATTCAAACAAAATTCATGGCTTTCTCGAGTTTGAATTAATGAGAGTTTACTCTATTTTCCTGTGTTGCAGATGAGATTTCCATATCCGTGGGTAGCCTCAATCATTCCCACCCAACTTTTGAAGATAGGCCAACTGTACATAATTGGAGCCCCTGGTGAATTCACGTGAGTGTCTTGACTTGGTCACTCAGACTCCCGGTTTTCCTTTCGTGCATAATTTTATAATAATTGTTACAGCTTTGTGGGCTGCAATCATTGAACAAGCTCTTACTCGAACAACTCTTGTCGCAGAAAAAGACACTGAAAAATGCATGTTCCTAACTTTTTTTTTTTTTTCACAACAATTTCATGTGCAGAACCATGTCTGGAAGGAGACTCCGTGCTTCCGTGGAGAAGGTATGTGTCGTTCTGTCTCCCTGACAAACCTCCGCTATGGTCGCTGACGAGACGAGAGTGGCAAGGCGTCTCTTCCGAACATTCGACCTCCAGCACAATCGCATTGTCTTCTGCCGTGCATTGGTTGTGCGCGCACTTTGGATGTTTATGAAATGCCGGAGAGCTATCGAAGGTGCTCGAGGCAATGGACCTTTTTCTAGTAACAAGAGCCGTCTGCAAACTACAAATGAAGGGCAGTCCAAAGTTCATCGACCCATCGGAACACATCGGCATTGTATCACTGTATCGGCTTTTATTACTTTTTATGCTCCATACTATACCGGCACTCAAAAAAGATCTTTGAAAAAGACGAGACAGGTGCAAAGATAAGTGCCGACAATGTTGGTCGCGTGGGACGGTGCCCTCAGAAAGGTGCGACAGCGGAAGGGGGGTCAGGGAAGAGGGTATATGCATATGCACAAGTTTGCCAGAACAAAGATCCACCGAAAGACCTCCCTGCTGCTTTCATCTTGTCAGTGACACTACAAGCAACAACTCATTTTAACGCAGAATGTATTTAATAGGTTGTTTTGTACGAGAACGAGCACCATGAATGAGCAGGACGCTGGGAGCGTCACACAATCCAGTTTCCCCGCTAAATTTAGTGAAAAGGTTTTGTCATGTGACCTCTGCCCCAGTCCAGCTTTCCCGTTGAATTTAATGGGGCAGGCACTGCAGGAAGGAAGGAGGAAGAAGGGAAAAGAGACAGATGGAGAGGGGAAGGGGAGGAGGATAGGGGGACGAATTGGAAAAGGGGGAGAGGAAAGTAAAAGTAAAATTTAAAAAGTAAAAAAAACTGAAGAAAGTTCTGAAAAAAAAATTGGGGTTTGTGCGAGACACATTCAACGCTCCCTGGTCTTTGTCAGCACGGTCAAGCTTGCACAAGGTTTTTGTTTCATTGACGATCATACCTTTCCCGTTACGCAGGTCGTGACGGCAAAGGACAAGGACGCCATGGTGGTCCTGGCCGGCCTGTCCAACACGTACACGCACTACGTGGCGACATATGAGGAGTACCAGGTCCAGCGCTACGAGGGCGCCTCGACCATCTATGGCCCGCACACGCTCGCCGCCTATCAGAAGCAGTTTGAGATCCTGGCGCAGCACCTGACTTCGGGCAGCAACCTTTCTGCGGGCCCTGCCCTGCCAAACTTGCTCTCCAAGCAGATATCTTTCAAGACGGGTGTCGTCTATGACGGCACCCCTCTGGGCAAGCGATTCGGTGACGTCGTGACCGACGCCAAGCAGTCCTACTCGAAGGTGGGGTTCCGAAACCGATTCTGCGAATTAAATGGCTTGCGGGGCGGTACGATTATTATGCTAGCTCACACACTTGCGACTGCTTACAACCGTGTGCCTTACGACCTCTTAAAACCACTTATGACGATTGAACACACTGACACTGGCACCTGTTTGCAATTCTACTCGTGGTCTGCCTAAAGCAAAGAGATACCGTGGTGTGGCATCTTCGTCGATTTTTTCAAGTTCGATTATGTTTCCTTATTTACTCACTTTTTCTTTTTTGTGTTTCAGGGTGAACGTGTGGTCGTGACCTTTGTATCTGGCCATCCAAGAAACAACCTACTGGTCAGACTTCTTTACAACATGTATACTGAATATGTCATTAATTTCATGAAAGCTGTATCATCAGTTATGACACACAACTTAATAATGCTGTCATTAATGCCCTAATTTCAGTTAAATAATTACTTATTTTTTTTATTAAACTTAACAAAAAAAGAAACAAAGTATGGGGGCCGTGCAAGTTCGGCGGAAAGTTTGGAAGAGGGTGGGCAACTTCGCCAGGAGAAATAACATCAGACTGCTAAGCTCTGGGGAGTGGTGAACATGTGGCGAAGGATCAGAAATTTTAAAAGCTCAATCCCATCTTTGGACATCTGTTACTACCGGGCCATAAGCTCGGAAGTTTTCCCAGTGTAGGCTTCCAAGTCGTAACCTATGATTGTTAATGTTGTCACGCTTTCAGGTTGAAGGTTATAATGTAAGCAATACCACATGTTTTATTACCTTCAACTTTACCCTTTTTTCATTTGGTCATTTCGCACATGTAAGACTTGTCGATCCTTAAGCAATATTCACACAAATTATAGTTATTAAATAAAAAGTATTCCTGTATAACATGTTGGTGCTCATGAGAGCTTGTTGGTCTTATAATGGGCATATCTCAAAGATGTTCACAAGTACCGAAAATGTGTGTTCCAGTTGGAGGGTACCTACCTGAAGGTAGAGAAGCTGGGCAAGGACGGGCAGTCTTGGGACGTCGTGGCTACAGATGGCAATTGGGAGACAAAGTAAGTTGTGCTCTCATATCCTCTTCACAACATGCTGCTACTTCTTAAAACATAGTTTTTTGTTAACTTTTATTCTAAAACTCTTTTGCTTGCATCAGCGATGCTTCTTTTTTTTGTTCCCTCTTATCACAATGATTACGGCAGTCATTGAAAAAGTGACTGTCACAAAAATACAACTCAATGTTTTCAAGTGGCACAGTCTAGAATATGCCGTTCCAGCACAAAACATGTAATAAATATGCCCCTACATAATATATTTGAAAAAAAGAAAGTCATTAAAAAGACGCTAGTATCTCTGTTCACCTGTGGCAAGGTATATGTGAGACAGTCGGGAAGATGCATCAACGTAAGGCTCAGAGAACATGCGCTATCTTTAAAATCCTCTCCGTTGGGGCATCTCGCTCTACATGTGAGGTACTGTAGATGCGCCCCGCTACTGTCCAGCACAAGGATCCTGAAGAGGTGTCCAGATAAGCGAACTCGAGAAATCCTTGAGGCTGAAGTGATTGCGACCAAAGGAGACTGTGGTGTATTTACAAGAAAAACGGGTTACAGAAATCAGCCCGGTTAGAACACGGCTGCATGCTGTTGCTCGGGTAGGCAGTCAGTCAGTTCACGTGATAGTCTCGCGCGTACGCTGCACGTCAAGGCACGAGTACTGCCACACATATAACATTTCCCCCGGCGTAATTGAAGAAACCAAAGGAAAACACACACTGCACACAATGCCGAAAACGTTATGCGTCGTATCTGTCTGGAGGACGACGATGTCTTGTGGGGTAGCGCTGTTGCACAGCGGGATTGTCGGTTGCCCTCTGTGGAGTGGTTGCAAACTCACTGACCACAGGCTCGTCGACGCAGTTCTCTGGATCCCTCAGATTGGGCAGGAATCCGTCTGATGTGGCTTGCATCGAGTTTTCACGATGATGAAGCATCTGGTCTTGGTGACGGCGCCAGATATATATGCCCCGAGCAGTCGTGACTTGAACCTGGAACGACACTGGGCCAGATTACTTGAGAATTGTGCCGGGAACCCACTTCTGGGAGCCTCTATAGTTCCTCACGAGAACATTGTCGTTCACACTAAAAATCCTTGTTCGTGCCTTTCGCTGCGAGGTCTGGACGAACTGTTGATGTCCTACTCTTCCCCCAACGGAAGGCTTAATGGCATCGAGTCTTAGGCGAAGTCTTCTGCCTAAGAACAAACTGGCAGGTGTTTCTTTTGTCGTCGTGTGAGGGGTATTGCGGTACGTCAGAAGAAACGTTTGTACCGTCAACTCCAGGGAGTCTTGCGGTCGTCCTTTTCGGAGAGCAGACTTCAATGTCTGGACAAACCTCTCCGCGAGGCCATTAATACTCGGGTGATAGGCCGCGCTCAAGATGTGACGACCTCCTAGATTCTTAATAAAAGTCTTGAATTCTGTTGAGACGAACTGAGGACCGTTGTCCGTAACAATGGCCTCAGGTACACCAAAACGACAAAACAAGTCCTGAAGACGTTGGATTGTGTGCTGTGATGTCGTCTTCTCCATCACATAGACCTCGGGCCACTTTGAGTGTGCATCTACGGCGACCAAAAACATCTTCCCCTTGACTGGACCCGCGAAATCCAAATGCACCCTTTGCCAGGGCGATGTCGGCCATGCCCAAGGGTGGAGGGGCTCAGGGACTGGCTCGTTCCGCTGTCCGCAAGTGAAAGCATTCTTGACATGCTTTCACTTGCTCTTCCAGGTCATTGTCAATTGAAGGCCACCAGATGTATCTCCTGGCTAATTCCTTACTTCTGACAATACCTGGATGACCCAGATGTATTTCTTCAAGCAGGAGCTTGCACAGTTTTGGTGGTACGACTACCCCATGCCATACATCAGACACCCTTGATGCACAGTGAGTTCCAGACGTCTGTCAAAGAAAGGCTTCATTTCCTTGTCAGTGATGGACGATGGACGATGGCCAGCCCACGTGTGTCAAGTCGAGTACTTTGCTTAACAAAGGGTCGTGGCGTGTGGCACGAGCAATGTCACGGCTGGTGACAGGTAGCGTATCTAGACGCAGAGAATAGAAAGTTTCGTTTCCTTCGGTAGATTCATCTGCCACAATGTCAAGTGGCAATCTTGACAAGCAGTCTGCTTCAGCGTTGTCACTTGATTTCTTGAACTGGAGCGACTAGCTGTACGTAGACAGCGTCACTGCCCAGCGCTGCATCCGTGCAGCAGCCATTGCTGGAATACCTGTTTTCGGGCCGAAAATGGTTTGCAAAGGCTTATGGTCTGTAATCAAGGTGAAGAAACGGCCGTAAATATACACGTGGAATTTTTTAACTCCGAAGATCAGGGCCAGTGCTTCTTTCTCAATCTGGCTGTAGTTCTTTTCAGCCTCCGATAAGGTACGAGACGCGTAAGCCACAGGTTGAACTTTTCCGTCCGGAGAAACTTGAGAAAGAACGGCGCCTATGCCGTATTGCGATGCGTCACAGGCGAGCTGCTGGGGTCTTTTGGGATCATAATGAACTAAGATCGGTAGGGAAGTCATCGCAGCTTTGATTTTCTGAAAAGCGGACTGGCAAACTTCATCCCACGTCCATTCTTCTCCTTGTCTTAGCATCTTGTATAAGGGGTGTGCCAGCGTAGAAAGTTGCGGAACGAACTTTCCGTAGTAGTTCACCATCCCAAGGAACGACTGCAGTTGCTGCTTGTTTTTCGGAGCAGGAGCATTCAGTACTGCAGACACTTTCTCAGGGGATGCGCAAACACCTTCAGCGTTGATGACGTGGCCTAGATAACGTAGTTCGTGCTGAAAAATCGAGCACTTGTCACGCCGCACTCGCACACCACGTTCTTGTAATCTCGACAAGACGGCTTCGAGATTGCTGAGGTGTTCTTGCTTTGACTTTCCGGTGATCAGGATGTCATCGAGATAGCAGCTGACACCCTTCAGGCCCTTCAGCATATTATCCATTATCCTCTGGAAGATGCCTGGTGCTGATGAGATGCCAAAAGCAAGACGGTTCATGGCGTACAGCCCTTTGTGCGTGTTCAGCGTTAGCAACTTTTTTGAGTTGTCCGCCATAACCACCTGTTGGTAAGCCCTGCTGAGGTCGATCTTTGAGAATTCTTGTCCGCCAGCTAAGGCCGCCAACAGCTCATCAATATGTGGTATGGGGTACCTGTCCACCTCCAGGCAGGGATTGAGCGTAGCCTTGAAATCTCCGCAGAGGCGTATACTGCCATCCTTTTTTACTGCACGTACAAGGGGTGTCGCATACTCGCTGGTAGCCACGGGCGTGATGACTCCCAACTTTTCCATTTTTGCCAATTCTGTCTCGACTGCTGCTTGCAGTGCGAATGGAATGCTTCTAGCCTTCAGAAACTTCGGCTGTGAACCTTCACGAAGCAAAAGTTCGGCTTGTTCTCCAGAAATGGTGCCAAGCTCATCTTTGAACAGGTCGCTGTGGTTCTCCAACAAGGCGTCCAACTTTTGTTTGCGTCTCTTCGACGTGTCGAGCCTGTTGACAGGGACCAGGTTCTTCCAGTCTAGCCGAATTTCTCGCAGCCATTCTCTGCCAAGCAATGCCGGTCTCTTGGTTTCCACGACGTACAGTGGAAGCTCCTTACTTTGGTCGTTGTGCTGCACAAAGACCAAGGCCAGACCCTTCGGCTTCACAAATTCTCCTGTATACGTGCGAAGTGTCAGCGTTGTAGGTTGTAGCTCCTTTCTTGGGAACAGCTTCCGAAATTCAGTCAAGGAGACAACGGACACAGCTGCGCCTGTGTCAAGTTCCATTGTAAGCTTCACACCGTCAACGTTTATGGGTACGGTGATCGGTTCCAAGCCCGCAGCCTTGACCGCTTGCAGAGATCCCGCGTCGTGAACGGACGTCAGCGTTTTCATCTGCCTTTGTCGTTTCGATTTTGTTGGCTTCTTGTTACCCGAACGGCAGGTGCGCTGAATGTGCCCTTTCCGGTTGCACTTGAAACATGTGTCACCGACGTGGGGGCACGCATCACTGCGGTGGTTGGTCGAGCCACAACGGAAACAACTTGACTGCGCTGGTACTTGCTTGTCGATCCGCGCTTTGTGGTCGACCCGAACCTTGTGGACGTCAGGGACCGATGCACCGCTGGTGTGCGTTAACGCTGCACTTTTAGTTGCTATTTCCATCGCAAGAGCCCTCTCTACGGCTTTCTGGAAAGTCAGCTTTTTGTCTTCTGTGAAGAGGACGCGCTGTACATCTTCTCGGCGAAGGCCGCACACAAAATGGTCGCGTAGCGCCTCATCAAGAAAGCCTCCAAAATCGCAGCTCTGTGCTAGATCTCGAAGTACCGCTACAAATTCGGCGATGGACTCACTTTCTTCTTGCGAACGCTTGTAGAACTTCGCACTTTCCGCTATGACGGATGGCTGCGGCGCAAGATGATCGCCCAGAAGCTTGAGTAACGCGGTAAACGACTTTTCGGACAGTGACTGCGGGGCCGTAAGCGACTTCAACAAAGCGTACGTCTTCGGACCGATGAGACTCAAGAAGGCATGGACCTTCTTACCTTCGGGAACCTCGTTTACCAGGAGGTATGACGCCAGTCTTTCTTCATAGGAGCGCCAGTCGCTCGTCGTATCGTCGAAAGAATCGATGTGCCCGATGCGACTCATGGTCTTCGCTGAGGGGTTGCCGCTTGATGGCCGCTCCAGGATTCCGAGGCTGGACAATCCTTGGCTCCAGTCAAGCCCCCAGCAGTAAGACGATGATCCAACCCGTGGACCCGACCATCCTCGTCGCCAATAAATGTGGTGTATTTACAAGAAAAACGGGTTACAGAAATCAGCCCGGTTAGAACACGGCTGCATGCTGTCGCTCGGGTAGGCAGTCCGTCAGTTCACGCGATAGTCTCGCGCGCACGCTGCACGTCAAGGCACGAGCACTGCCGCACATATAACAGAGACGCCTGCATCAGTGCTCCTTCGGTGACTTTGTCATCAAAAGAATTAGAGTACATGAAATATTTTCCTTAGATATTCTTAATTTGCTTTACCTTCCTCTTTCTTTTTTTCTTAATATATTCACTGTCATTTCTTTCACTGTTACTTTAATCATGCCCACCATTTCCTATTGTTCTTACTAATTTTTTTTTTTCTTTTTCAATTCTCAGTTTTTTCAGATCCTTTCACTCCTTTCTCATAAATATTTCTAACATTTACTGTTAGGGTTCTTCATCTTCCTCATCTTCCGAATTAAAACGTCAGTTGCGAGTAAGCGCTTGTCCTGTGTTGTCTCCCTCTTGTCCTTGTCTTTTGCGCTTTTTAATTTCCGTAATGTTTAACCAACTAGGCCAACAAATCATTTTGCTTCAACGTGCCCCTGATTGTTCGGTACATTTCAAGTACCGTTTCTCTGAGACACCCTGACTTTGCTCCTTAATTTCTATTAAAGAAATAAAACTGCGATACTTTCTTAGTCTGACATGCTCATAACAAAGCAACAAATATCCAAACAAGAAGATACACTTTTTATGGCATGCCACAAACACTTTGATTGTAATCACAATTGATCGAGGCACTAAATAATCATATCCTGTCGGGAATATAACTAGGGTTCGGATTTTTCGGTTTAAACCAATAATAACCGTTAAAAGTATGCCGAATCTATTTTCGAAACCGATTTTAACCGAAAAAGGTCAGTTTTTAGGTTTGGCATTTTCGATTTAAACCAATAAAAACCGATAAAATTATGTCGAATCCATTTTCTAAAATTTAGTTTTAACCAGTAAAGGTCACTTTTACCTTCCAGTCGTACCGCAGAGCCGTGTCTAAAAAGTGGAACGACAGTGTCTATCAAAACGTGTCCGAATGTATGGGATACACGAATGCCATCATGGCGCTTTGATTTAATGTGCTCATCATCGATCGGAATATGAAGTCCGAAATGCCCCATGACTTCGCCATGCACGAGCGTGTTTTCAAACTCGTTGTAAAAAGACTGACTTGATGCAAGCTCTGCATGTTGTGTTGTACGTGCTTCAAAACGTCGCACCGTGTCTCTTTTGGTGGTCACAAATGGTTGATTGGCCGATTTTGGCTCCAAAGGCAGCGCTTTATCACCTTAGCCTGCCACTGTCGAGTGTTAGCGTTGAGAGAGCATTCTCGAAGCTCAGGGTCATATTAACAGAAAAGAAAAGAGTGTGGATCAACGAAAAGAACCTGGGAAAGTACATGCGTGTGTGTACTGTTATAAGATCACGTAATCCTGATATAAGAAGGTGAATTTCAATGATTTTGGGCATAGGCTTCGTGTCTGGCTTGTTCGTACTTCTGGTTTTTTTTTTTTCTTTTTTTTTTTTTTACAGTTGCACACGTTTGCTAAATAAAGTGTCCATTTCTTTTTCAATGTATCTGCGCCATTATTCTCCAAGTGATCACAAATATCAGAGCTACAAGGATAATCTGATCCGGTGTTTGTTGGTGTTTATTTTATATTCACCGAAAAAACACTATAAACTTTTAAAGGCCAAAAAAAGAACACACACAAAAAACATTTAGTTTTAAAATAAACACTGAGAAAGGTACGCCGAATTTTGAAAAAAAAATAGAAACCGAAAACGCGGAACCCTAAATATAACCGACCAGCGACAGCAGCAGATCGTTCACAACTGCCCATAGGCCACCAACTCAACCATTTCCTCTCTCTCACGCAGGTTCTACTGGCGACGCACCGCTCCCATCTTTGGCCAGAGCCAGGTCACGGTGACGTGGGACATTCCGGACGACGCCGAGCCGGGCACCTACCGAATCCGGCACTTCGGCCACAGCCGAAACCTGCTGCAGATGGTGTCTCCTTACGAGGGCACTAGCGGTCGCTTCAAAGTAAACCCCTAGCATCGGGCCTCGACGAGGACTAAGCGCCGGAACCGCACGGGAGAGGACAAGAGTGTGAACGTCAGATGTCTTCGCCGCCGCCGTATGATGTCGTTCGTACCACGGTCCTCCACTTCGGGGCGGTGCCAGGTGCCCGTCGAAAGCCGCCTCTCCGAAGTCATAGATTTCGACGTCCGAAGGAGCAAGCGGCTTCGAACAGCTCTCCTGCCGTACCCGCGGTTGGCGCGCACCTCAGTGGTAGGAACCCCCGCCGGATCGGGCGCTCTGCTGACGTTCTACTTCCCGCTGGGAATCCAGGGTATCTCGCTGTGTTTCGGCGCTGGTGCGAACTGTTGACTTGTCCCGTCGCCTGGGTTGACGAGGGTTTGGGGTTGCTTATTTTTAATTTTGTTACTGCTAGGCTGTGCTGCCATCACTCGTTTGCCAAGCCCTACGGTGAAAGCCAGGGACCATGGCCGTCCTCAACGAAATCGGCAGGCTGACAATCGGCAACGAGTTTGCCGAACACCTGCCGAGCGCACGAAGCCAATTTCGCATTGATGCAGTAGTGAATGAGTGCCTAATCATATTGAAATTTAATCTTTTACGGTGGTGATTGATTGAAACGTCCCAAAGGGGCAGTTTATTTGTCAACTTCGCTCATGGTAGTGCAGGAGGAAGCCAAAAATAGGTCTGCGCATGTTAAATTCTTTTTACGGATATTTTTCAATATTTCACAAAGTGATTGAGGCGTTCTACTTAGGTTGTTTGAAGGAATATTATAACAAGGCATGTTGTTAGGCTTGTCGGTGGTGCATACTTGTTTGGTGGGAACAGCGCTAAAAGACGTAGGACCAAGACAAAGAATCACACAGACAGGTCCCTGTCTGTGTGTTTCTTTGTCCTGGCCCTACGTCTTTTAGCGCTGTTCCCACGAAACAAGGAAAATTTCGTAGGCATCTTATCTGTGTTGTTATGTTAACTCGAGCGAAATTAGCCCCAAAAATTGCATCCCAATTGTTCTGCAGACTGGCATGCCTTGTGATCCGGTTCCTGTAAAACTTGTGAACTTGCTTCCTTCGAAGTGCAAACAATGAAAGGTTTTGGCTAAATATAGCAAACCAGATATAATATATTTTTATATTAAAATATTTTTCCTCTAGTCACTTGTTACATTTCTTGTAAAAGAAAATGCCTAAAGTTTTTTTTTTTTTTTTTTTTGTTTCAGATGTATTTACTATGTACTCACTAACAGCCATGTTGATAAAATTTTCTGTGCACACATCGAAGTTCTTTTTCTGTAGTGACTTGCAAATAGTAGCTCTAAATGTACAGGAAAGAAACCAATGTCTGTTTACCCTAATATCCCAAAAGATAACCCACCCCTATTTTTGACATCTGTTATTTAAAAAGAACAAAAAGCTGAAAGATAATCCACTTTTAGTAATTGCAGTGCCCTGGCCAACATTGACCTTGGTCGAAATGGGGTTAGATAGCTACAGTGGGAGATCAGCAAACATTGCTGACTGGGTAGGACAGTTAGTTCCCTATGCCCCATTGCCCCACAATCTGGAAACATGCTTGGCAGATCACAGGATGCAAAAATAGCACTTTTAATATATTTCCTTATTGCACACCGGAAGTAAGCCCACTACTCATTTTCACCTGATTTGCTCTCGCTTTCAGGTGGGCTATCCCTCCAAATATTATGGTATTTTTAGCGTTGTTACATGACTAACAAACCTGCCCAATATAAAATTATTAATCTCGTCACTGAAAAGTGGCAATATTTATGTGCAGCTGCAATATGCTTGGTCTTGGTACGTCGATCAATCTGCAGTGCCAAATTTAGGAAGAAATGGTACTGGAAGTTTCATAAATATTTAGTTATTGGATAAGAGCGCCTCGTAAATATTTTTCATTTTTCGCTAAGGTGCCTTGGTTGTTGCGACTTGCTGAAAACAGTCATAAAGGTTTAGAAAATATTGTTTTGACAAAATGTCCGAAATTTTTTTATATACTGTATTCCTTTTACCGCATGTAAATATGTCAAGGTTTATCTAGGTGTGAACATGGTGGTAATAATGCGCGTTTTGTGGGATGTGCGTCCAGAAAGAAGATTGCTGCACTTTCACTTCCTTTTGAGTACTGCTCTACGCTTCTTAAGGTAATTTTTTCTCCAATTTAGTACAACTGAGTTGCAAGTAGTATGCAAGAAAACACTCTTTAGTTACCAATGTTATTTTGAGAATACCAATTTGTTTTGTCCCCACCTCCCCATCGAAATTATCGTAAAATACTGGGCATCCGCCCAATATTTTGTAACAACGTAACATTTGGAAAATGCACAACAAACATCTTTACATATTGTTGACCTAAGGGGCACCCATTTCCCAGTTTTACATGGTTATGTCCAAATTTTGAGTGTGCACTTGCTCGGGATTTTTCGGTAAACACCGAAATCAAAGAATTTTTTTGTTTTCTGGTACTTAAAGATAGTATTGTGCAAACTCAATAAAGCCGACAAAAAAGAAAAAAGATAATGAATAAAGATGGAAAACCCAAGCTGATGGTGTAAGCTTGTGTATACATAACCTTTTTATTTGTGATTCATGTAGAGAAATACTCTATCATTCTGGTAATACATTTAATACATTATTACAAAATAGAGAGACACATTCAATGGTATAATCTTATTACTACTATACACATGATGAAATGAAATCACTGCATGCAATCATTTTCTTTTCACATAAATATGCCAGTACTGCGTCATTTGTTTCCTTCTCCATAATCTCGGAGACCCAAGCATCAATCGTTTCGACTCGTGAATGGTATCGAATGAGCAAGCCAGACTGTCTCCTGGTCTTTTGTTTTGACTCGTGCTGCTTGCCGCTTTGAATGCACTTTTAAAGTGAGCTCTAAAAATGGTGACGAAAAAAGAGAAAAATAGCAGTGTGCTGCTCTCAGTGATGCATCGAAATGGAAAAGTGAAAAAAAGGTCCGTCACTTGCCAGTTGTGTCCACATTCGGTTAACACGTCACAAGCTTGAGGTTGCCTCGTATCAAGTGTAATAAAAGACCTTGCCTTCTCATCTGGCGCATTCTTTGAGAAAAATGGGAGAAAAACTTGATTGAGCAAGGAATGAAAGTGGAAGATGACCCGCACAAATTAAGGAAAAGCAAACCATCTGGGGCCTCTCAATCTACAACTTGAAAGTAAGCAGATGTTTTGCCATAGCATATCCAAAGCAGCAACAAAAAGTGAGAGAAATAGATGTTTGCTTTTTTCTCATTCTTTTTTTTTTTCACCGATATACATACACACTTTGGGCGGCATCTATAGTACTCTGAGATACGGCAAGGGGTCCAGAATTGGCCCGCGCAACCGGAAGCAATTAATAAATTCCTCTTATTGTACAGTAAAATACAACACGCACTGGAGCTGCTTCCCGTCAAAAAATATCCAACCGAAGAAAAAAAAGCGAAAACAAAAATAAACGCTCGCTTTGCACATTGAAACCGAAACAACACGACTTGCCGTGCACTCCCGAAAGTGCTAAGGCACTCTTTTCAAGAAGACCAACCTCTGCTCCACAATCTCTCCAGAAAAAAAAAAAAAAAAAAAAAGATGATCGCCGGAAGCCACAAAAGAAAAAAAAAGCGCAGTGCATCCCCTGAGATGAGTGATGAGCAAGTTCTCCCTCATACACACACAGAACACTTTTTTTTTTCTCTCCCCTCGTTTGCACGGCGACGTCGGTCCGAAGAAACGCGCACGCGCGACTGTCCTCGGGTAGGTTGGGGTAGGGGGCAAGTCGAACGGGCGTCCGCGTTGCGGTGTTCGTTGCCCCGCCCCCCGGTAAGTTCTTTGGCAGTCTTTCGGTTGCAAGTGGTCCGGCCTAGAGCTTCTCGCCGGAGAGGTTGGTGATGTTGTAGTAGGAGTGGTCAGGAAAGCGGTCCAACTCGATGTAGTCGTTCTCGCTGACGAGGAGCTTGTCCAGGAGGCAGGTGACCTCGCCGAAGGACGGCCGCTCCTTGGGGTCCGGGTCCCAGCAGTAGTACATGATGTTGTACATCTCCCGCTTGCAGTGCTCGGGCTTCTCCAGACGGTATCCCTCGCGCACGCGGCGCATCACCTCAGCCGCAGCCAGGCCAGGATACGGTGTAGAGCCTGCGGCCGAGACGGAATAAACGGTGCTTGTGAGCCACCGCGGGTGCTCGAAAACCACGTTCCAAATTAGCGTAAAATATACCTAGCATACACTTGGGTCACATTAAAGGGACCATGAAATGATTTTTCGACTTGGTCCCTGCTTGGCTTTCTTCCTCAACTCGAAAGCGAAATCACGTGGTCGTAAGATAGTATTTCACCTGATGCGATGACTCCAAGCTTCCATTCTATGTTTTAAATGCACCGTGGAGCTTGTCATTCGCAAGTGATGATAAGTGCCGTCGAAGCACTCGTTGGCCTCGAGCGCGAATTTGAATATTCGTCAACGGATTGATTGTTGACGAGCACAAACATCCGAGCGACTCGGTGCTCGTGTCCAATGCGTCAGCTGGGTTCGGCCGACGTGCTTGGGCACTGTGGATGCTTTGCAGTGAAAAGGCAGAGAGCTTTCGAAGGAAGTAAGGTAACAACTAGTCTGCTATAATGTCAAATTTTCGTACCAAAAAGGAGCCTTTAGGCTTTCTATCCTTGTGCATATTATTTTTTCATTGGACCACTAAATGACATAGGATTAGTAAGATCCCAATATAAAATCATTTATCGCAGCCCAAAATTAATTTTATGGCCCCTTAAGTGCCCACCAGCAACATTTGAAATGTTTTAAACATATTAGCTGTCCTGTGTGAATCTACTGAAATCCACTGTATAGGGGGTGTTACTATAATAAGGCCAGCTGGCCCTATTATAGTGTTATGCACCAACGAGCTCAACTAAAGCCCATTATTCACTGGACGCCATATTTGAGGGTACGGTTTAGAGTGCAAACTCGGAAGGAGCTCACATTATTAGGCTGCTAAGGCCGGCAATCTTGGTGTGGAATGCACGTTGCAAGAGAACTGTGTAAGCTTGCCATTAGCACGCACTCAGCAGTCGTGCACACAGCTATAAACACCAGTGAATGCTCCCTATAGCTGCTACGAAAGCTCCGATACGTTATTGGACCCTAGTGTATCCTTATGTACCTTGCTCCTCACGTGGAAGAACCATCGCCAATGTCTGCTCGAAGATTGACACACTCATTGATTTTATACGCGCAGAAGCCCTCTAATCAATGTGCTGCGAGACTCGTGGTGGCGTGATGCAACATCACCGCAACTGCAGCCATCGGGCAGTCGCTGCGCGACTTGTCCGTCCAGCTGTCTTCAACTTATGCGGTTTATTAGGTGGCATGTCCAAGCGGCTGGAGCGATTCTGTGGCAGCGTGCTCGCTTCACAATCGGCGAATCTGGGATCGAGTCCAGAGAAAACTGTGGCGGATGTCAGGGGATCTCTTTTCCGAGCATTTGGCAATATCGACGACCGACGCCTTACAACCACATCATTTTGAGTTAGGGGTTAGAGTCCATGGCTGTAATAAGCGAAGGACGTGCCAAGTGCCCACACCCCAGACTCCTGAGACCACCCAGCTAACCGAGGAACTTGTCCTCGTCGGCCGCTTCTCCCGTCTCCCCCGTGCAAAGCGGCGAAGCCTACCCTATTGGTGCTGCTTCAGCATTTTTGCTCCTTTGACCTAACAAGAGCCCGTTCACCCAGTTTTTCAAGATAACTTCGAAATTTTTAGTAAGCACTTGTTCGGTATCTTACGGTATGTCGGTGCCACGCATTGTGAAGGAACACCCAAAAGTAGGCAAACAAAGAGGGACACTGCACGTAAAAGAGTTTCCTCTCCGGTTTATGTGAAAGTTCTCCGGCTCATTCATTCTGAAATGGTAATGGGAATATGGTACTCTTTTATGTTTTCAAATGTTCTTGATTACCTTGAACATTTGTTACTGCCCAGTAGCGGTGTGGTTACACATTTTCACTTCATATACTAGAATGGCCACATTTGGGCAGATGAATATCTTTCTGACATACTGGCAACATGCTACAATGCCAAGTCAACGCCTCTGAATGCACAACGGGCAGTGTTTAAATTCACTTGTACAACAAAAAAAGTATTGTAAAAGCAAGGTGGCGAACATGCCGTGCATGCCGGACAAACATTCAAGAATTAGGGTGACCCTTTTCCATTACCTACAAATCTGCAAGGATATTTTTCTTTTAGATCAATCATTTATTTTAAGTAATGGGTCTAGTTGATGGAACTGAACGAAGTTTAGAAATTAAGGGCATGCAACTGACCCCTTTCACGGCTCGCTCAAAAGATACAGTAGCCTTGGGCTTGCCAGAAAACATTTGTACCAGGGCTTATGAATGCCTCTGAAACATCCAGAAGAGCTCGGCCAAAAGGTTATGCAGAGAAGAAAGCTAAGATTGGAGTGGATTGGATACAATCTAGAAACAAGAGAATGATGACGATCGTCTTACCAAGAGTGACGATTTCCCACATGAGTATTCCAAAGGACCAGACATCGGTCTTGGCTGTGAAGATGTTGTCGTAGAGAGACTCCGGTGCCATCCACCTGATAGGTAGACGACCCTGCAAAGCGGCGTTCAATTCCAGGATTTGAAAGAGTGCAATGTTGACTAGACTGCAGTCGTGACTAGCATATCGTTGATGCAAGGAAAGAAAAATGAGAGAATGGTTAGCTGGTGCATTCTGTGGGCAGGATCCAAAGCGTTGAACCAGGCGGCTGCCGTGCCAAATCGTTCATATAGTCAATTTCACCACGAAGGGGGGTGCAAGTGCAATTGGTCATGGGCAGCAGCAAGGGAATTCCTACAATTCTTAAAGGGATACTTCAACGAAATTTGAAATATTCCCGTCGTGTTCAAAAATAGGTTGAATATGATCCACAATATTCGTAAATGACAATCGCACGTTTGTATTTTGATCCTGGTGGCTGTATTTTTCGTTATAAACGGGCCACTCTGGCAAGCGCTCGGAGAAGGCCCAGCTTAGAGCACGTGACATCCAACGCAATCGACGTAGGTCGTCTCAAGACGAGCAAAGCTACGGCGAGGCTGACGTCGAGAGGATGGCCTAGTCGTTCCAGCCACCGAAGCGGCTGCTTTTGTATGAATTTTGAGTGACGGGTTAATCTTCTATAATCTTCTAGGGGGACAGTAGCGACTTCTGCGACACACAAAAGGGATTGTCGGGAAGAGGGGAGTTCCTCCTTTCCCCCAGTCTCTCGTCGTGGCCGGAGACGAGACAACCTCCGTCACTAGCTGCCAAGGTTCCTAGACGAGCATTACAAACGAGGCGTTAGCGACATCCACCAGGTGCTCTTTGCTAATCGTTTAATTCGTATTAAAATTCCTTTTCGACACTTTTTTAACAAGATACAGTAAAACCTCGTTATAACAAAACGGGATATAACAAACTAATGGATATAACAAAGCAATCATAATTCCCCTTGCTTGCTAATAGTGGGAAGAAATGGACATTGGCTATAACAAACTAATGGTTATAACGAAATAATTACGACCGCTCCTTCAACTTTGTTATAACGAGGTTTTACTGTATTGGCATGTTTCATGTGATACTGCTCTTTTGAACACATATAGACCAAAAAATGAGCGCCGAAATTTCGTTGTAGTATCCCTTTAAGGGGACACACTCCCCGGGAGGGTCAACTTTTGAACCCTTGGGTTAAAATTAATTAACATTGCAGGGTAGGCTGGTGGTCAGAGGGTGCATAACAAAATTTCAAGTCTGTCGGTTAAATGGGAAGGAAATTAGAGCAGCTTCTATCAGCAATATGCCTACATAGTTTAGTTAATCTATCGTCAGAAAACTATAACAATGTTCAAGATTTTTATTCGCTAGAGATGTAGCAGAATGGCTATGGAAATTTTTTGTAAAAAGTCATTTATTTTTATAAATTTTCTCTTTTGCAAAATTGGTCAACTTTTTGGTCTTCTGTGTCTTCGACAAAATGTCAACATTTTTTATAAAAGACATTCGTAAAGTGACAAAAAAGTTCCATAGCCGCATTCCTTATTAAATTTCAGTCAGGAAAAGTGAAGAGCATTTTTCAAAATCAATTTTTTTTGCAGAAATATTTTTTCTGGGGAGTGTATCCCCTTAAAGGACTACAGGATAGCACAAAAGGGTAAGTGTATTGCTGTGTATAAAGACTTTAGTACCACCTTGTACAGGTGCCAAAACAAGCTGAAACAAGGCTTGGTTCTCGTCTCCTCCTCATCCCATATTGTGCTCATAACCCTTCAAGTATTACCTTCTAGCATTGCAGAATACAAATAGCATACTCGGCTCCATTCACCAGTCATATATATATATATATATATATATATATATATATATATATATATATATATATATATATATATATATATATATATATATATATATATATATATATATATATATATAAAAACTCGCACCAAACACTTGGCATCAAACCGACAATAAAGGCTTTGTAAAATTCAGTGCGGTTGCTTCAGTCAGTCTGATGGCACAAACTTCGGTCAGTGAGCCTCGTTGTGTCATTGCCCGTTTCCATCTCGGAAAGTGAAATAGAGAAACTGAGCAGCATGGTGATGCCACTTCTCTCTGAGAATTGTGAGTTGCGACTTATCTCGTAGTTCCTGTGTTGTGACAGGCAATAGATGACACTCACTCTCGAAAAGAGGCTAGACTTTGTCTTTAGGAGTTAAAAATAAAGACATTCCTACAGGGGCGTCGGAGGTGTTTGGGAGATGGAAGGGTGACAGGAGGGGGCAATTGACTCCCCCACCCCCTCCCATTTTGTAAACAATTCAATGTTTATAGTAAACACTATATTGTTACCCAAAAATGTCTCAAATGTCTAGAAAAAGCTATTGCCCCCACCCCCCTTGTTTCAATGCAACTGCATTTGTATACCCCTAAGGGTTCCCAAAACTGGTTCTAGTGGATTTCTTGCAAGTCAGGTTTGCGACAGGCTGCAATGCTCAGACCTTCTTACGTCAGCTTTAAAAAGAAGCCTAGCGATGTATGGCGATTTAGTATGTTAGCGTTGAATCAGGCATTACCTCGAAAGCAAATCGGTCTTACCTCTGACTTCCTCTCGTAGACATGGTTGGTTATGACATCTCTCGCAAATCCAAAGTCAGCCACTTTGCATGTCTTGCTCTCTCCAACAAGGATGTTCCTGGCTGCTAGGTCCCTGTGGATGATCTGTAGAAGCATGAAGAAAACAATGTCAAGCAGCGAATTTGAGTCTGCAACCAGTGTATCAAATGTTTTGTTAAACAAGCATAGAATTTACTTCCAATAGAATTAGAGCTTAGTAAACAGGATAACTGGGCGAGTTGGTATGGATTCATAATGGAACAGCGCGAATTTTTGCAAGGACAGAGGAAGGAACTGGACAGGACGAGCGCTCGTCCTGAATGGGCAGCACTCGTCCTGTCCAGTTCCTTCCTCTGTCCTTGCAAAAATTCGCGCTGTTCCATTATGAAGAAATAGAGTGTAATATTTCAAGTGCGTGCTACTAGTCCGACGAAGAAACTCTCATGTTTAGCTGCGGTTGGTGAAAACGTGATTTGAGCAAGAAACTTTTCGTAATAGTACATTTCTTGTAGAAAGCCCAAAGAAAATGTCATCTCACCCCTTTGGATGACAGGTACTCCATGCCTTTGGCCACTTGGTAAGCGAAGGAGGTCAGGTCCCTGGAAGTCAGGTGCTTGCTGCTCCCATGAAGGTTCCCGTACGACCTCTCCACTCGGCTTTCTCTTAAGTACGTCTGGAGCTTTCCGTAAGGCACAAATTCCATGATGACGAACAGGGGATCTGAAAGGCGAAAAGTTGTGTACGGTCAGCCTTTGCATTACCTTGATTTGAATTTTATTTGAGTGCAATTGGGTGTGTCATTAAAAGTGACAAAGCTTCTTAGAACTGGGCCAACCAGCTTAAAACAAAAATGGGCCAGCATGTTGCTTGAGAGTGTTTCAGTACAACACGCCGAGACTGGTCCCCATTTGCTAGCTTTCAGTGCATTCGTTGAAACTGTCAAGGACAAAATTTCAGCTCCTTCTCTTTTTTTATCTAGCAGTCTTTGGTTTGAAATGTTTAAGCTGGAAGCTAGACACAAACAAACGCAACACCTAGACAGGCAGTATTTTCAGGATGCAATTTACCAGCTAACCCGGTTCTTAGCACTTATTAAATGCTAAGCGCGTTTCATGAACATTTTAATAACTGAGGCCCGCAGAGGGTAAAACCCCCGCTCCTTTGAGTCGCTATAAGAAAACCGCACGGGCATGCTAGAAAAGACTCGGCATGAGCACAATACTTGTGAAATTTCACGAGGGTAGCAAATGAAAATGTGATGGTGCATGTGTATTCATTTCTAAACCTTTGGTCGTAAGCTTTTAGTTATGTGGCATTAACATACTTCAGATGCGCTCTTGGTTTTCAAGAAAAAATATTAAGCCACAATCACACTGCTAATACATTATACAAAAGACAGTCAGCAAAAGCTGTCTGAGGTGTGTTTCTTCCTTGCATGACGTTCCTTTCGCATTGGTCATACAAAAACTGCCTGCAGACATGTTCAAAGCATACACATGTATGAAGCAATCATGTTTCGAACATGCTTGGGAACTGTCCACACATAGTTCTGTCATCACATCAGCAGCAAACACCATATCTTTCTTATGACATACGAAAGGTGTGATTGCGGCTCTAGGGTCTGTGAAGGTGTCTGCTGCATCATATTTGAAAAAGAAAGTGTCCCAGCACATGGCACACCACCGAACACGTGTTTCACAAAGTTTGGTACATGTTTCAAGGAAGGGATGCAATAGCTAGTCGCTCGCTTCTTGCCTCCTCGTCGTCTGCAACTTGCATGGACAACTTTGCCCGGCACTCATTGAATGTCACCAACCGTTTAGTGTGCACTGCTTTCCACTCTTCATGTTTAAAGTGGCTCTACTAGTCCAGGCAACTTTTCCTCACCTCTGTCGGTGCAACTCCCGAGCAAGGTGACAACATTTGGGTGTGGGTTGATGAGTTTCATGACTCCCAGCTCGCTTAGAAGATCCTTCTTCTCCTTTTCTGTTGCATTTTCTGAAAGAAATAAGGAAGTGTTAGGAACCTTGGATTTGAAGTATAAGGAGATTGTGATAAATTAAAAGCATGTATTTAATAAATTAAAACCTAATGGTCATTGCAGAAATATAGAAGAGATGGTCTATTTGCCCATGTAACCGCAGATGTAAGGAGACTTCTTCACTCAACACAGTGGCAACATTGAAGCTTTAGTGATGGTATTATTCCTTGGCATGAGGCTTTAGATTTATATGCTGGTGAATTTTCTCTATACCACGACTGACGAGATAATAAATAATCATCATGGGGGAGTGATCAAAGCAAACGCAGTAGGAAATTGCAAGAGCATTGAAAATTTACCGACCTTTGAGTGTTTTGACTGCCACAATGACCGGCTCTTCGGATCCCGTGATATTCATGGCTTCGCATTTCCAAACCTGGCCGAAGCAGCCTTCTCCGAGTATACCAATGAACCTCAGGTGATGCCTGGGGAATTCCCATTTGTTGTGTTCTGACAGCTGGAAAAAATAAGAACATTTTTAGCTTTTTTATATGACCTCTGTATTTTTCAGACATGTTACAATTTGTACACTTTTAAATAAAATTGCCATAATGCTGCGCACCTGGGACAAACTTATTTTAGACCTATATTTGCAAAAGAGCAACTGAATTATTTAGCAGCTGCTGAGTAAAATCCCGTAGAATGCCTACCAAAATGAAGAGAGAAATTGTGAAATACATGGGGTGGGCGATCTTCGAAAATGTAACAGCAAAATTTTATAAAAACATAGGTGTACTATGCTGCATAAATTTCCATAGAACTATGTGTGGGTGGCACAAGAAATGAAGGGGGGGGGGGGGGTTAACGCTTTGCCGAGTCGCGCTTGAGAGTCGCGTGAACTGCACGTGTTGCAGAGGACATGAGCTCGGCCACTGTCCAGAGAAATGAGTGAAGAAAGTGGAATAGTAATTGCCGGAGCGGCGACCATCGCTGTTTAAATCAAAGAGGAGCACGTCGTGTTGAAGCGAGCAAATAAGCAACCCAGCAAAATAAGAAATTGTTACAGAAACCACTATTGTGGGTTATCTATGAATTGCGATAGCATTCGTATAGGACAACCTCAAGGACGACATCTAAGACAACGTCGAGGATGACGTCCTGGAGGACGACATCAAAAATTACGTCTCGGACGACCTCTGGTGAAATCTCATGGATGACCTCTATACTGCATCTCATAAGTTCCGTGCAGCAGAGGCAAAAGCACAGGCGCGAGGGCCTGGCTTTCATATTTGCTTTCCTTTCACGAGCACTCGCGAAAAAAAAGCACATCTGAAAGCCACGTGCCTGCGCCAATGCCTTTGCCTTTGCTGCATACAACTCCTGAGATAGAGTATAGGACGACCTCAAGGACAACGTCAAGAACGATAGTCTAGAGGACGACATCAAAGGTGACGTCTAGGATGACCTCTAGGACGACCACACGAATGACCATAAGGACGACGTCGAGGACGGGTGTATGTCAAAACGTCCCATTCGCATTTCGTCCTTTCTCGTTTGGTCCCATTCTTGTTTGGACCTTCTCGTTTGAACCTTCTCAGAACACCCAAACCAGTTTTGTCGCATTAGGATCTATTCGCATTTGGTTCCATTTGCACTAGAACCGAATGGCGCGTAGTAAGTTTTCAGCCTGGACCGGCTTCAACGCCTGGTAGTGTATACTGCAGTCCACTTTAAGGAAAAGTATAATATGGAGTGGGAGGGGGGGGGAAGGAGGGACTACTGTGAATGCACCCTCCAGCGGGCCAAGAAAACAGAGACATACAAAGCCGTGTTTTGACACAAAAGAGTATTTCGGTGTCTTACTGCCCAGCGACAGCTACCACTTCTGGAAAACCCAACGAGCAAGTCCTGACCTTCGCAGGAACTATTAGCCAAACTGCGGGACTAAAGCACATGTGCATGTGTACATGAGCGCTTGCATATAGGCGAGTTTGAAAGGGGGAGGAGCGGACTTGAAGAAGCTCGTTGGGGGTATATGGTGACCCAGAGATAACAATGACATCTCAAAGTGCCCCTCTTTGATTTTTTTTTTCTTGGAGGATAAAACGCGAACAATGTAACAAATGCGGCTGGCCCAACCGATGAGGACGTTTTAAGAATGGTCCTCTTGAGAAAGTCCAGACGAAAAGGTCAAAACAAAAATGGGCCCAAATGATAACCACCCATCGAGGACGACGTCAAGGTCGTCAGGTCCTTTGAAGAGGGTAGGAATGTGAAGAATTGTGAGAATGAGAGGTGAAGTGGTCTCTGCGCATACCTACTGCGCATTAGGAGGCCTGAAAGTGCAAGAAATTTGGGGGGGGGGGGGGGGGGGGGGGGTAGCTAAAGAAAGCTATTGCATTAAAAGGACGGGCGTGCGCACTGCGCAATTCTAGGCAGCAGGCACGGCGCGCTGTCAGCGAGCGCAGTGACGCAAATCGGTTTTAATCGGTCAGCTCTCCTGTGTTACCTGTGTGACATCACTTCCATGACCAATTTTTCGTGTCATTGATCTCCCAACTTCGCACCCCCTACCAAGTGCAGAGAAAGACAATGTTCTAGGTCAGAAGTGATGATACACACTGGGGCACCCACCTCACACCAGGTGAAACGGGGGCCGATACTGCAGATCGCAGATGCGCTGCGATAAATCCACGAAAACCCGCTACAAACTCAAGCACGTAGATCGCGGACAAAAAATGCTGGAACCTGCTACAAACTTGTATGTCACAGGAATGGAGCCTATGCAGCAGACTCGCGTTTCGCGGTGCGATAAATATGCCGGAAATAGCTGCAAACTCGCTTGTCACCGGTGACAAGCAAGGTGCGATCTGTGGTACTGGTACCACAGATCACGCAGTTGGAGTGATTCAAGTCTGACACTGCTAGATACCTAACGGGAATGGGAGGGTGGGTGATGTTTCGGAATTTTTATGTTATGGATATTTAGCCAACTAAACGGGATGGGCGATCTCTCGAGGGAAGGCGTTCATGTGAGATTTTACTAGTGATCAAGCACAAAAAACCTGGCTTTTAAAGTTCTTCGCATACTGCTAATGCCATGTTGAAACCACACTTATGTTAGAACAGGGTTGTCGTATCAAACAGCGCTTAAAAAGTGCAGCCAGGGAAGATGCTACTGCAATGCACATTGATTGCATCCTGTAGCTAACTTGTGTAACAGATCAACGAAAACTTATTTAGTCGAGTACACCTTTGCTCTACAAGAGTTGGTTTCTGTTGTTTTAGGAAAGAAATCACTGACTGCTCCTCTCCTTACCGAACTTAGGAAGTCTGGCTCGTATCTGTTGGACAGGGCTCTCCTTGCCCTGGGGTTGTACAACGTCGTTGGAGACAGGTCGAAGTTTGGAGAGAAGTTGCTGTCCAGTCTGTCCGTGGACTTTTTCTGCAAATGCAAACAAAAAAACAAAGGTTTTTCAACAGAGTTCTTTGATTCTTCCATTCTCATATCACCAGTCCAGCTTGTGGGTTGGGCTTGTGTATCATGGTATGTGTTAAAAAGTTCAAACAAATTTTGTTCATGCATGGGATGATAGGGTAGTTACTATGTTTCGGGGCAACTTTTCTGGGTCAGTTTAACAATGCATCTCAATATCTTGTATCTTGCTAAAATGATAAATTATTTCTGTATGCAGCCTACAAGCACTGTCTAACACTTAAAGAACATGGGCTGACTTGCTAGAAAAATCTTAGCAAAAGCAGTTTGAAAGGAAGCATGCAGACTCTGGGGCATGCAAGCGCTTGATACTTGACTTCAGGCGACACAACACTGATGTGCTAACCTTGGCAGGGCTTTCTCTCGCACAATCTTTCCTATGACTCAGTTTATAGTAAGCCCGCCCAGCAACGCAAGCAAAGAGCACTAATACCACCATTAAATTTCTCCAAATTTGCCCCTATACCCATTTTGAGATGGGAGAGCATTGTACCAGTTGACAGTTGTGTGATGACAACTAAGTGATGTACGTTTAAAGATCCCAGGTTATCAGTTGCACTAGACTGGCCAAATTGCCAATCCGTCTAAACCTCAATACAACAAATGTTTTCATTATTTTACTGGCAGATAACGCAATAATATTTATCATTCATTTTTTTTCTTCTACTTGAGAACATCATAACAAGAGGGTGATAATGAGCACCTTTAGAGCCAAGAGTCGTTCAAACCCTAGCATTCACAAGATAAAGACTTATGCCCCTGTTTTATGGGTATGCTAAAGGCCCACACAGGGGCGGATCCAGACCTCCATTTTGGGGGGGGCGGTTCCTCGGCGTAAAACGGGGGGGGGGGGGGGGGGGGGGGGGGAGTGTTTATATTTTTTTGTGGAGTCATCGTTTTTACTAAACTCTGATAACATTATATAGATCTTGAGAGCTTTTGTATCGGTTTACCTGTAGGGGATGAACTCTTTGAACTTTCTGTGGCTATGCACACCAAGGCACACGCTCCCATATTTTTGACTGCATAGCCTCAGAAAGCTGGGCATCTGGCCAACGCAATGTCTCTGCTCGTGCGGAAAATCACGTGCAATTGCAAGCCTACCAAAGCTATATTCACGTGCGCGCCATACGTGCCTGCTCGTCTGGGGCACCAGTCAGGACGCTACACTGTAGCGTCCTGACTGTAAATTTGACCGTAAAATTTACGGTCAAATACCAGGCAGCTGATGCTGCCAAACTTGTACAGTAAAAATAACGGTGCACTGTAAATCTGGTTTACGATAAATTTAAACGGGGACCGTAGAAATCTACGGTCAACCTTCAAATTTGCGGTAAAAAAAAAAATTTACAGCGCGCCGTTATTTTTACGGTGCAATTTAAACGGCGAGAAAGGTGGTAGTATTCAGGTTCATAACATCATTGTATAGTGATGTTATGAACCTCGACTGAACCAAGCACGTTTTGAAGGCTTTCAGCAAGTTGGCCGAACATGTATTGTTTGTACATGAAATGCCGACGTTGAAATTCATAAATGGTTTTTTGAACTGTTGATACCGGCATAAGAAGCGTTCCGTTGAACTTCAGGTACAAAAAAAACAAAAAACAAGGTCGTATTTTACTGCCTTCCTTTTTTCTCCTGCAGACAGAGACATTAACACGTCGTAGTTATCATTAGGGGATTGCATCACGTTAACAGCACCGTCTTCATTAGAATCCGCACTAGTCGACCGAGTCGAAGAGTCCTCAACCTGAAGCGGGCCTGCAGGCGATGCGCCGTCGCCCAAGAAACCCGTCACCCGTAAATGCGCCCAGTTCAAATGTGCCGTGATCGAACTATGATTTCACACCTTCTGACAGTTGGAGCACGAACACGAAAACAGAATACTGTCGGTGATGTGGCCTTTTAGATGTTTTAGCAAAGCCTCCCTTGTGTGGCACTCCTCTAGGCGGGAGGCACTCACTTGATCGAATGACGTTTTAGCGAACGCCCACGTTTCATCGAGCGACACTTTAGCGAATAGTCGGACGCCGCGAAGCGGCGTTTTCGGGTGGGCCAAGTGAGTTCATATTTTTGTAATGAGTTGCCGCAGACTGTCGCCGCGAAGCGGCGTAAAGCGCAGCGCGACGGATGGGTTAACGCGCGCCCCCGGTATTCGCTAAAACGACCATTCGCTCAAATGTCGCCGTTCGCTAAAATGTCATTCGCTCTTGTGATATGGACCCCAATGCCTATGTCTTCTCAAAATATGACACCTGAGAGCATCATACGTAACAAACTGGCGACAGCATCCTTCGTCCACACACTGAAGAATTCGAGAGCTGAAAACGTGCTCATCGAATTGCACAACCATCAAGCGTGCTTGAACAGAAACTACAAATTCTGCAAGTAAACATCTTTTAGAGTGTTGTATTTATGCCACCATTACACTATCCTTGCCAATCAAGCAGCAGATTGATAGTGAAATACCTGCCTCGAGTATCCAGTTGCCTTCCGCTCCAAATTTTCAGGTGTACAAAAATCCGGGAATGCCACAAACGAACGAGGACAAAATGGCGCGGAGACGGGTGGGAAGGCGGGAAAATGAACTGAACGTCAGCTTTTTCCACTTCTTTCCGCGTTGTCCCAACTAACGTTCCTTTCTTTTGTTTAAGCTTCTAGCTAGTCGCATTGTTGCTCTACTGTTTGCTCTTAGTTCTCTTTTTTTTTTTTTTTTCTATTTTCAGTTAAGGCAGTTACGCTCTGCGTTGGCGCGGCTGGCGCGGACAAAGAAAGGAGGTGAAGGGGCGAGAGGAGACTCTCTGGGTTCCCGCAGCTTCCGAAAGGTCAAGCGTGGTGACCAATTAGCGAAGCGCGTCTTTTCTTTCTGTTTTCTTGCTCCATGAAGTTTTGCATTTCCCTCTCGGTTTTTTTGCTCGTTTACGGTGCATTTCAGATAATTCCTCTTCACGGCGTACTTGTAGTTTTTATTAGCGTATAGCGCCGTAAATTTGACGGTTACTTTTTACAGTGTACGCTTTCGAAGCTAAGCGCTTGTGAGCCCGAGCATGCTGGGCGACGATAAAAGCTGCGCACAATGCCTGGTTACTACTACTGATATGTCAAAAAACACCTCGACCGCACGAACACTCGTGTGGGGGAAGCTCCAAAACTAATAGATTGCGTTTGTCCAAAGGGAAGTAGGGTAAGATGGGCCAAATGAGACGCGGGGCAAAATGCGACAGTTGGAGTGAAGGCACCCAACGAAAGTTTTTGTTTAGTGCCAGCTATCACCTAGACACAAGTCTCAAGCTTCACTGAGACGTGCCTTAGCCTGTTCACTTTGCGTGAGCCATAAATGACTGCCTTTGGCAAGTCCTTTCCGGAGAAAAAGAAATGCCGATTTGAGATTGCCGAGTTTACCGCCTGTCAAAGAGGTGCATAATTCCCCGCGAGATATCGCTTCGAGAAGTACGCCCCGGTTGGCACAGACTTTCTACCAAGGTATAATTTAATTTCATTCCTAAGTTTTATTAGCTTCATGCAGACCAAATTTGAGTGTTCAGAGTGCTTTTTTTTACGGAAATAATTATTCACGTAACGGGATATGCGCGAGACAAAACGCGACAATGTGGCATTGTATGACGCGTGTGTCAATAATGTACCAGTTTCCTGGTTGTTCCTGAGTCATATTTTCCTCTCGGTGTCTAGGAGGATCAAAACGTACAAAAGAAAGACAACAGGGGCTTCATGGCGCATAAGTAACACTACGAATGCTCTTGAAAGTGAAGCAACAGCGTCACTCCCTTCGCGTTGCCGCCACACTTTTTGGCGCACCAAGGGATGTGCTTCAAAAGCGAGCAAAAAGACAAAAAATGGAAAAAGCAATAACTCCACAAAAAAAAAAAAAAAAAAAATGGCGAGATGTTTGGGGGGGGCGATCGCCCCCACCGCCCCCCCCTTGGATCCGCCACTGGGCCCACATATTGAACTCCGTTGAAGAATCGGCGAGCCAGTGCTAGCCGATGGGCACACACAGACTTGAGATTGGGAGCTGATTCACCGATTCTATAATATTTTATTCTGAAGGCCTTTTCAGTGACTGTAAAACAGGGGTATCAGACTGTCCGAGCCGTGGAAAAACGCGCACACTCTGCAAGCGCGTTTTTCGAAGAGCAGTGATGTGATCGGTTCGAGTCATTTTGGAGCACCTTTTAGAGCAGCTAAAAGTCCACTTTGGAGCATAACCGCCGAATGCAGAAACCTCACTCAAACTACACTCAAACTGAAGGGCCCCTCCACTTCCTCGAGGAAGGCGCGAGGGCCGGCGCTGGCCAATCGCGACGGCGGATCCGTCCTCGCGATTGGCCAGCGCCGGCCCTCGCGCCTTCCTCGAGGAAGTGGAGGGGCCCTTCAGTTTGAGTGTAGTTTGAGTGAGGTTTCTGAATTCGGCGGTAAGTCTACACTTAATTTTAATTCCTACCGCTGCAAATATCAGATGTTAAGATTAATCTGTTGACCTGTCCAACGAGAGACATTGCCTACTTTGCCTTCCCCATGTGCAACTTTTTGTTATCATCAATTTCACGGCAGAATTAATGGCTTGTTCACACACCTGCGTTTGACTATGACCGGCGGAGACAATACCCGGTTTTAAGACTCTTGCGACGGCTTACGACCGACTGCATTGCTGCGCAGCCAGTCGTAAGCCATTTTAAGAGGCTTAAAAACCGGTCTTGTCTCGGTCGTAGACGAATGTTGGTGTGTGAACGGGCCTTAATTCCTTCAAACACAGAACTAGCTGTTGTGTGTATAAGTACCAAGCACGACAACATTATGCTGAATGATGAAGGACAGTAGGACTGCTGTGAATGGTTAGTTTAGCTACAAAGAAAAAGGTAAACCAAATAGTATATTCCATGAAAATCATATTAGAACAAAATAATACTGAGCACTCATGATGTTTTAAAAGTTGCAATAAATCTGGAGTTTTTAATTCATATATAAACAAAGCTTTTGTCATTTTAAATTATTTTATCAATGACAATTTATATGTAGGACTTCACAATAACAAAAAAATCATCATTTTGAACAATAAATAAGCCTTAGAAAATATTCAGTCGAACTCACCAAGATTAATTCCAAGTTTACATCCAGTTTTCCATCTAATCGAGTTTTCATTTACTCCATTCACTGTGCCCTCATGCAGGTTGAACCTATGTAAAAGTACTGACTAAACCAGATATGGTATAAACAATAAGCTTATAAAGAATTTCATATAAATTTTTCTGCAATACATAAGTATCCTTGCTAAATCACGGTTTTGAAAGAAAAAGAATCAATATTTTAGTATATTATTATGCTAGTCGGTTTTATTCAGAATTTTAGTGCAAGGTAGAGTTGTTACATCATAACTCGCAAAGTTCCCTTTTCTTTTCTTTTTTTATTATATACCCGATGTCTTGTTTTGGAGAAGTGCTTTCCCTTTACTACGTGGCTGCGACGCGGTGAAGCATGACAGAAAAATCGCGATGTCTACTTTGCTGTTTTCGCTTCACTGCACTGCACCGGTGCGCGGTGGGAAGCGCACTCAACGAAACTACATAACCCACCAGAACAGACCACGAACAGAGAATATTGCGCGACTTCCGAGTATAGTCAGTATCTGATGCAGAAATCAAATCGAGTAGTACGTTATTTTAATCAAAAGTTCTGAAAATTAGGACAAGCCTACCGTAACGCTCCGGCAGTTCGGCGGGTCTTCAGCTGTTATATTGTCAGTTTTAATAAAGTGAAATTACGGATTTAACGCAAATTCATCGCATTTTGTCTAAATGTAGCACTTTGGTGCAGTTTGGCGCAAATGGCGCAGCAATCACATTATTGCAAGAGCAAAAACTGCGTGACCGCATTTGTGAAACCGCGTGAGCACAGAAGTGAACAAGCACGACGCTGTGCATCGCATCGCCGAGTGGCGTAACCATAGCAACCGTCGCTGACGCTGTGACGTAGTGGCGTGGCATTCGATCACGTCAGAGCATCAGCGGCGGTCGCTATGGCAACAGCTCTTTGCGCAACTAGGCGGCGCGACGCGACGCGATTTTTGCTCCCATGTGCTTCACTCCCGAAGCGGCGACTCACCGGCTTGAGCTTCTCGTCCCTGTTGCACCTGCGGTGCATGAGCCAGAAGAAGAGGGCGACCAGCGGCGCGAAGCCGACGACGGCGACGATGGGCAGCACGGTGGCCGTCATGTCCAGTCCGGTCGCGGGTCCCCCCGTGCCGCCGGCCCCGTCCCCCAGGCCGCCGCCGCCTTCCGGAGGGCCCCCTTTCTGCGCTGGGTCTGCTGGATCCTCCACTGGAGCGTCTGGTCGTACCTGGCCCGGCCCTGGGCGGGGCGCAGGGCGGCCGAGCTCGCCTCCGAATATCGGCGGGGGGTCCTTGGGGGGCCGCTTCTTGGGCCCCAGGGAGGGCGGAGGGGGGGCAGGGGCAAAGTGGGCGGAGGGGGGCCCAGACGGCCCCCGGTGCGGAAAGGGCCGTGCCGGTACGCCGTCTGGGGACGGGAGGTCCAAGCCGTCCGCGCCGTCCTCGGAGCCGATGCTGGGCTTCTCCACTTTCACGTACACCTCGATCTTGGCCTGCATCGGAGAAGAGGCGACGACCGTCAGACAGAGGCAAACACGAACATGGCGACATGGCCGCCCCCTTGTTTCTTCTGCTCGTGCGAGCAAACATGAGCAAAAGTTGCGTTCACGCGCATGCTGCAATCGCTTGTACGCATGGAGCACGCAGCTGTGCCCCACCCGCAAAAACCTGAGCGCGGTGAACGCTTAATTGTGCGCGTGCGTATACGACTTAGTACGGGAGGCGAGTTTCCACAACGCTTTCGGAACGTGCATTTTACACTAAAGGCTGGTTCACACATTTGCAGGGGTTGCGTTCGCAAGCAACCCAAACGACCGTAACGACGAAAAGACCGTAACAACCGTGATTCATGGATTTCTTCGCGAAGCTACCCCTTGCATCCAGTGGCATACCAACTTGTGTGTGTGTGTGTGTGTGTGTGTGGGGGGGGGAGGGCAAACCAGACCCCCCCCCCCCCCCCCCTCCCCCGAGCCGGGGGTCGGTGCCCTTGGTATCCTTCGGGGCCTCCGGCCAGTGTTTGCCCTGCCCAGTGGCGGCTGTTTCGGGGGGGGGGGGGGGGGGGGCAAAGCACATGAATTGCCCCCCCCCCCCCCCCTGAAAACTGGAAGGGGGGGGGGGGGGGCAAGCGCCCCCCTTGCCCCCTTTCCGGTTGATACGCCCATGCTTGCATCGCTTGCCATGTTGTGTACGGCGGACACTTGTCCCCGTGACTCTGTCGCTACGGTTTCATGCGAACGCAACCAACGCAGATGTGTGAACCAGCCTCTAGTCAATATTATTGTTCTCTGAAGACAGAAGAAAGAAAAGCTTGCTCTGTACGTATACATAGGTTGCACTGACGTCACGTCCCATATTTTTGGCCTCCATGTAAGAGGAGGAGAGGGAAGCTGCTTTTGTAAGAATTTTGAGTGACGGGCTAATCTTCTATAATCTTCTGGGGGGGAGAATAGCGACGCCTGGGTAAATCCGGGAGGCATAAAAGGGGGCCCTGATAAGAGCCGAGCTTCTTCTTGCCCTCCTCTCTGGTGGTCATCGGAGCGCCCTTTGAATGACGTCAGGTGCAAGCCATGTATGCGCTGAAAAACAACAGGCTGAGTTATGGCGGCCGGGCGATTCTGTCGTCTTCACGCAGCAAGTCGGAACAAAGCATGGATCTACTGATACTGGACAGAGGAGGGCAGGCTAGAAGCCCTTTTACTTCACGAGCTTGCACGCAGGCAAGACCGGCGCCTTTCAAGAGCTTTCACTAAAGTAAAACGAAGGGTAGTTGTGTAATTCATCACCGTGCGTACAGCGGTCGATTCCCGCGTGGCCATAAGCAACACTTTTGGTGGCAAAAACAAACTGCGTGGGCTTAAAAAGCAGCGCCCACTAACAGCGGCGCATTTATGGAACCAAATTACGCGAAAAAGCGCGGGCTGCGAGCGTTTCCATAGGCCATAACCCGCATAGGCATAAGCAAATTTGCGAAAGGAGGCGCGAAGATGCGAATGAAAGCCCTTCGTATAAACACCAGTCTTCTCAACCTTAGAGGGGATACTTATACTCACAGTTTGATGGCCGTCATAGGCAGTGATGAAGAGGTAGTAGTCCGACCCGGCCTGGAAAGAAACAAATCGAAACATTATATAAATATCGTAATATACGACTTCACAACGTCTGTCGTTCCACATATCAAAAGGCCTATTTATGATGCATTGAACCGTACAATTACACATTGTACATTTCTTAAAGAACAACACAATGCTGATAAAAAAAGACAAAAAAAAAACGCAACCAAAATTCGATTTTATTTTTAGCGCGTGGTAATCACATGCGGAGATCTGCTCACTACTATCAGAAAAGCAACATCGCCCTGTTGCCAGCCTCTGTAGTCATCTTTCGGTAACGGCTGATTTCGACACTACTTTGAGCACGTTTTCTGCCTAATTTGCGTATTTGTGATCCCAGAGCCAAACGAACAGTCGATAGTTTACACCAGTGACATCACCTTCCAGCAGTGCGGCGTAGCAACGCAATGGCCACGCGTGCACTGTCGTATTCATCCAGGGCATCCACGTGCTGAAATCCTGGGCGCTGAACATGCTGTGGTACTTAATTTGTACAATTACTATGTCAAGCGTGCTTGTGGCACACGAAGGCCAAGTGTGTTCTGCAAACGAAGACCTGCTGTATGTGAATCTGTAATCCCACCACCACCCGTCAGCAACGACCTCTGGTGTAAGGTTTCTCTGGAGAAATTATATTTCGCAACGGCGATTTCATGCCCACGCTTCGCCACGTGGCGCGTGCCCGGCGTCCACGGTCTCCTCCTCCTACACATCCGTAGCAGGAACGTGTATCCGCTAAGGCAGTCCGCAGCTCTCGATGCGCCGCGGTAAGAAAGAAAAAAAAAATAAATAAAAGAACACCAGTCCATTGGTCCCCTTCAACGCGCTCCCGACAAAGATCCATCGCACTTTCGCCGGACGCCTGCTCGCGCGTGTGATCCGGTTGCGCCATCGCGCGCGCGCGCGCGCAAGCGTTTTATCTGAACGCAATGTCCCGAAGCAGTCTCAAGAGTCCATCTTCAGAGCGCAGGTCCACGGACATGGGCGTGCTTTCCCCGACCCCGCTCGCTCGCCTTCGAGACGGAGGAGCGCTTTTTGGGCGCCCTGTAATTACGGGCCCTGGCGAAAGCTGCGCAGGCCATATCCCGAATGCAAACGGTCGTCGGCTGGGCCTGGCGCGTGGCAGCGTTGCCCCCCCTCCGAAAAAAGGCTGGTCCGGGTGTGCGGCCCCGCTGCTCCTCTCTCGGTGCTCTCGGGACAGCGACGGACCCCCCCGTCCATTGTGAAGAGGGCCGCACCCAAGAGGCGCGTGGACGGGCCACATCCGGAATGCCCCTCCTCGTGCCGCCCACGGAACGCTTGTAATGAACTGCCATGGCGGGGAGGACGGCGAGGGCCCGGGGAACGCGATCTGGAGCAGGGGCGCCGAGGGGTCGCCGCCGCCGCCGGCTGGCTCGTGCCGCCCGCCGAACTTCGACAGGGTTCAGGACGTGGAGGGCCTTCGCGGGTGTAGGTGTAAGGTTCGCCGAAAAGCCTGTCCCGAGTGGACTGCGTGGGCGGGAGGTGCCGGTCGGTCGAGCACTTCCGCGGCTCCGTTCGGGAGGTTGGGGCGCCTCGCGCTTGTGCTTCGGTCAGTCTCGACGGCGCGGTCGCGTACGATCGCGTGCTATCGCGAACGTGGTGGCTGGCTGGCGGCGCCTCGCTCGTTCGTGTCGCCCTGCTCGTAAAGTTGGGAAATTTCCGGGTGTGTACGACTTGCGGGGTTTGTTACGCTCCAGAAATATGCGGCATCGGGGCGCCAAATTCTCGAGCTCGGCGGGCGGGGACGAGAGATCGAACTATCGCGTACCGATTTGGAGGGAGCGGTACCCAATTTCGAAGTCCGTTAGCAACTTTTTCATTTTCCGCGCGACGGCTGCGCCCGGTGTAACAAAGATGCCCCTTTCACTCTCCGAACACACAAGAGAACGGAGGAGGGAGGACAATTCTCGCTCAGCCCTGGCCTCAAATTACCCAAACCGTCTATCAGACGTGCTTCGCACCCTTTTTCGGGCTTCGTGATCGCATATTTGCACCGCGTGTGATAGCACTTTCCGAGGTACATACGCAAGGACGGCCAGTCACGTGACCCAAGAGCTTCCCGTTGACTGGTCCAACTGGCACGTAGTTTCCATGGCGCTATCGGCTTCAAAACTGAGTGTGCTTGGAGAAACCGGCCTAGCGCTGCAGACAGCTCCAGTCCTTCTACGGTCTGAGCTACAAAAGAGACTGGCTGCTTTGTCTGCAAGTCGCGTACGTCGGACAGCGAAGCCAGCTTGGGTCAGGAACGTCTCTCGAAGTTCGGACGGAAAGAACAGCCGTGCTCGAGCGCGCTTTGACAAAGAGGGGCGCTTTTGGAAGACGTCCCGACCCGGTGCTTGAAAGGAGCTGCCCGGTGACGTCCATTGTGTCCGCATCTAAGAACCAGAACGCCCTTCCTCAGGTCGAGCAGCCAAGGGGTCTCGATCCATCTTCTCGCCTGCGCATCTCGCTGTTGTTCTTTCGAAAAAAAAAAGCAAGAGTCGCGCCACGCTTCAATCGAGATCGCTTTTGTCTCGGATTAAAGGGTCGGGTACGTGACAGCTCGATCTGACGTTGATGAAGTCTGCGGGAGTGGAACGCGGTCTTCACTGGCAGTCCGTTGACCCCGAGAGTGAGAAAAAAAAAAAAAAAGCAACGAAAGGTGCCACGTTAGAACCAGCTGTTTCTTTTTCCTATTGGTTCAGAGCATCACCGTGACATCAAAGTTCCATTTTTAGCCGGCTGCGGCACTGAATATGGACCGTTCCAATAATCACCTTCTGTGCACTGCCATCTTTGTCTTCTGCAGAGCAACGGGAGAATCATAGCAAATATGGAGATAATTGAGAATAAAGGAAAAACTAATATTAAATACATTAAATAAAATGCAAATATTAAAATCATTTCAGCATGACTTTGAAGGATGAAGTTTGAGATGATCATCCATCTAACTAGAAACCTTCTGGCACCTCATGTAGGGTGGTGGAGGTATAATAAAGTGTTTCCGAGGAACGAGAACAGTGTTTTCCAGCTCGGGCAAATGAACTATAAGCATCGCAGATAGCTCAAACTTAGGGAGAATATGACGCTAGCGGTTGAGATAGAACGCGAGAGTTTGAGAACATGACGTCGCCTAGATCAAAAGATAATTGAGAACAACAAAATTTCTCTAAGAGCCGAAGTCCAGATAAGCCTAATATCGTCAAAACAAGAAGAAATGTCACTGTGAACGCCTGTAATACCTATTTTAATAAAAAAAAATATAAAAAAGCTTGTCAGCGAGAAATAAAACAATATCCTCTTTCTTGCTGAGAAGTGTTTTTTCACTGAAATAGGTGCGCTCCCACGGCGTCTTTCCTTGTTTTAACAAAATTAGGCTTAGGTGGACGTCGGCCAATAGAGAAATTTCGTTTTTCTCAATTATCTTTTGATCAAGGCAACGTCTTGTTTTCAAACTTTCGCGTTCGATTCTAACCGCCAGCGCTCATTCTCACGGAGCTTGAGCTTTCTGCGGGGCATATAGTTTATTTACCCGGGCCGAAAAACACGGCTATCGTTTCTCGGAAACGCCATGTAATTCTTTGTCTGACAAGGGCACAGAAAGCGCGCTCTGACACAGACGTCACCATAAGCCTCGATGATCTGCGCCTTGTAAAGTTCTTTGACATTTTTCCAAGGTACTGCCCCTGGATTTCTGTCTTTTCGAAGATTGGCGTGCAGTGGCAGTCACGGGCGTGCACTGCCGGATGTCCTGCCGGTGAGGAGTTGCATGAGAGGTGTTGCATGTTCCCGCATGTCATATTCATACACCGGCCAGATTGTCCAACGTGAACTTTCCCGCAGGTGAAGGGTGTTTTGTATAGACCTTTTCTGCAAGTACGCCGCCATTTTGAATTGACGTCACTTCCAGTATGGGCAAAACATTGTTTTGCCTTTGCCACGCCAATAGAAGGCATTTAGGATATAAGCGTAACCGTCACACTTTCTCTTTTTGCCTCCCCTTTATTTTTTTACTATTTGCAGGTTGAAACGTTTGATTATTTTTTCGTCGCCCATACCGGATACGCCTATTAGGTGGCTGGGGACGAGAGTACACAAAAAAGGTCTATACTATACACCGTTGCGATCTGCTTTATATCCTTGTCTGTCTATCGCGCTTTTTAGAATTGCAACATGCTGAACAGCTATCCCACGTTAATATTTTAGTAAATTTTGACATGAGTGATGGAAACGTGTATCCTGAATTTTTGTCAGTTCCACTTGCACGGTTGTCCGCGGTCCTGAACATGTCCCGTGGGAATTGTCTTTACCCTTCCGTACATAAGTCAGGAGATTCGAGGGCCAATGAAATAACGAGATATGAGACACATACAGATGGTGATGGGAACTGGAATCGACCTCTGGACAGCAGCGCGGGTAGCGGAGCTCTAAAGCCGCGGTCACGATGCTCATACATCATACGAAAGACAGCCTGCAGACAGTGTCAGGGGCATGTTTCTTCCTTGTCCTGCCGCGTTGGTCGTACAAACAGCGTTTGTCTTTTTAGACTTAGGCTAGGTGGCGCAATTCTAAGAAGAAAGGTGGTAGGTGGTATATATATATATATATTTTTTTTTTTTTTTTTTTTATTTTTGTGTGTCCAGTCCCAAAAGAATCAATATCGGTGGTAAATAGCATTTTGCCGGCCGTGTGACAGCTGCTCCTTTAGCAAAATATCCTTTAGCGGAAAGGATAGTTAATAAAAAGGAGCTTTGGGGCGTCGTCTGACAGTGGCATTACTCTGAATCGTCAAGACGCTCGGCCGAAGTTCTTTTACTCTGGCGCGGAGTGTTTTAATATTTGTGGAGGAGGGTAAACGGCTCCCTGAGAATTCAGATAAAGCTCCGGATAACTGGCAACTATGATCTTAAGCACCAAGATGGCTGAAGTGTTGCTACTTTGGGGCATAGCTCCTTATACAATAGCTCTATACTCGTCACATAAAAAAAGAA